ATAAAAAAACCCAAACCTACGAGTCATCGGGATAGAAGAAGGTACAGAGATTCAAACCAAGGGAATGAGTAGCCTGCTGAATGAAATAATTACAGAAAACTTTCCAGAAATAAAAAAGGAAACGGATATACAAATTGTAGATGCATACAGGACACCGAGCACACAAAATCACAGTAGACCAACGCCAAGACACATTGTTATGAAGATATCCAATATACAGAACAAAGAGAAAATATTAAAAGCTACAAGAGAAAGGAAGCAGATTACATTCAGGGGTAAACCAATAAGGTTAACAATGGATTTTTCATCACAGACGCTGAAAGCGAGAAGATCCTGGAACAACGTATTTCAAACACTGAAAGACAATGGATGCCAACCAAGAATTCTGTATCCAGCAAAATTAAGCTTCAGGTACGACAACGAAATAAAAATCTTTCATGATAAACAAAAGCTAAAAGAATTTGCAGCCAGAAAACCAGCATTGCAAAGCATCTTGAGCAAAACACTACACGAGGAAGAAATGAAAAACAATAACCAAAACCATCAGTGGGAAGTGCCTCTATAAAAACAGAGGGCGGGGGGAAAGCTAACCATGGAGAAACAAACTAAATTAAATTTAAAAAAAAAGAAGATAAATAATCAAACATGGCTGGAAGTACAAACCATATATCAATAGTAACTCTAAACGTTAATGGCTTAAACTCTCCAATAAAGTGACATAGGCTGGTAACATGGATTAAAAAAACAAATCCAACAATATGCTGCCTCCAGGAGACACATCTGATTGGAAAAGACATACGCAGGCTGAAGGTGAAAGGTTGGGAAAAAATATACCACGCACACGGTCCTCGTAAGCAAGCAGGGGTGGCCATCCTCATATCGAATAAAATCGACTTCAAGACTAAGTTAATCAAAAGGGATAAGGAAGGACATTATATACTGTTAAAAGGAACCATTCACCAACAAGACATAACAATTATCAATATTTATGCACCAAATAATGGTGCTGCGACGTTCATAAAACAAATTCTCCTCAAGTTCAAGAATCAAATAGACCACAACACAATAATTATGGGTGACTTCAACACACCTCTCTCACCATTTGACAGATCCTCCAAACAAAAGTTGAATAAAGAAACTATAGAACTCAATATCACAATCAACAACCTAGACTTAACTGACATATATAGAATATATCAAGCATCATCAAGTGGATATACTTTTTTCTCAGCAGCACATGGATCCTTCTCAAAAATAGACCATATATTATGCCATAGGGCAACCCTCAGTAAATATACAGGGGTGGAGATAATCCCATGCATTTTATCTGATCATAATGGAATGAAACTGGAAATCAATGATAAAAGAAGGAAGGAAAAATCCTACATCACATGGAAAATGAACAATATGTTACTGAATGATCAATGGGTTACAGAAGACATAAAGGAGGAAATCAAAAAATTCTTAGAGATAAATGAAAATACAGACACAACATATCGGAATCTATGGGACACAATGAAAGCAGTTTTAAGAGGGAAATTCATCGCCTGGATGTCATTCCTCAAAAAAAGGAAAAACCAACAAATAAATGAGCTCACACTTCATCTCAAAGCCCTAGAAAAGGAAGAGCAAAACAACAGCAAATGTAGCAGAAGGCAAGAAATAATTAAAATCAGAGCGGAAATCAATGAAATTGAAACAAAAGAAACTATTGAAAAAATTAACAAAACTAAAAGTTGGTTCTTTGAAAAAATAAATAAGATCGACAGACCCTTAGCCATGCTAATGAAGAGAAGAAGAGAGAGAACTCAAATTACTAACATACGGGATGAAAAAGGCAATATCACAACAGACGCTACAGAAATACAGAAGACAATTAGAAATTATTTTGAAAACCTATATTCCAATAAAATAGAAGATAGTGAAGACATCGATAAATTCCTTAAGTCACATGATTTGCCCAGACTGAGTCAGGAGGATACTCACAACTTAAACAGACCAATATCAATAGATGAAATAGAAGAAGCAATCAAAAGACTTCCAACCAAGAAAAGCCCAGGACTGGATGGGTATACAGCGGAGTTTTACAAAACCTTTAAGGAAGAATTAATACCAATACTTTTCAAGCTATTTCAGGAAATAGAAAAAGAGGGAGGTCTGCCAAATTCATTCTATGAGGCCAACATCACCCTGATTCCGAAACCAGACAAAGACACCTCAAAGAAAGAAAACTACAGACCAATATCTCTGATGAACCTAGATGCAAAAATCCTCAATAAAATTCTGGCGAATCGGATACAAAGGCACATCAAAAAAATTGTGCACCATGATCAAGTAGGATTCATCCCTGGGATGCAAGGATAGTTCAATATATGGAAATCAATAAATGTTATTCACCACATCAATAGACTTAAAGATAAGAACCATATGATCATCTCAATAGACACAGAAAAAGCATTTGACAAAGTACAGCATCCCTTTATGTTCAAAACATTAGAAAAACTAGGAATAACAGGAACTTACCTCGACATAGTAAAAGCTATCTATGCTAAGCCTCAGGCTAGCATCATTCTCAATGGAGAAAAATTGAAGGCATTCCCCCTAAAATCTGGAACAAGACAGGGATGCCCTCTATCACCACTTCTATTCAATATAGTTCTCAAAACACTGGCCAGAGCAATTAGACAGACAAAAGAAATTAAAGGCATAAAAATAGGAAAGGAAGAACTTAAATTATCACTATTTGCAGATGACATGATTCTATACCTAGAAGACCCAAAAGGGTCTACAAAAAAACTACTAGAACTAATAAATGAATTCAGCAAAGTGGCAGGATATAAAATCAACACGCATAAATCAAAGGCATTTCTGTATATCAGCGACAAAACTTCTGAAACGGAAATGAGGAAAAATACTCCATTCACAATATCCTCAAAAAAAATAAAATACTTGGGAATCAACCTAACAAAAGAGGTGAAGGATTTATACAATGAAAACTACAAAACCCTAAAAAGAGAAGTAGAAGAAGATCTTAGAAGATGGAAAAATATACCCTGTTCATGGATAGGCAGAACTAACACCATCAAAATGGCGATATTACCAAAAGTTCTCTATAGGTTTAATGCAATGCCAATCAAAATCCCAATGGTATTTCTTGTAGAAATAGATAAAGCAATCATGAAATTCATATGGAAAAATAAAAGACCCAGAATAGCAAAAGCAATTCTAAGCAGGAAGTGTGAATCAGGTGGTATAGCGATACCGGATTTAAAACTATATTACAGAGCAATAGTAACAAAAACAGCATGGTACTGGTACCAAAACAGGCGGGTGGACCAATGGTACAGAATAGAGGACACAGAGACTAATACACAAAGCTACAACTATCTTATATTTGATAAAGGGGCTAAAAGCATGCAATGGAGGAAGGATAGCATCTTCAACAAATGGTGTTGGGAAAACTGGAAATCCATATGCAACAAAATGAAACTGAATCCCCTCCTCTCGCCATGAACAAAAGTTAACTCAAAGTGGATCAAGGAGCTAGATATCAAATCAGAGACTCTACGTCTGATAGAAGAAAAAGTTGGCTCCGATCTACATATTGTGGGGTCTGGCTCCAAATTCCTTAATAGGACACCCATAGCACAAAAGTTAATAACAAGAATCAACAAATGGGACTTACTTAAACTGAAAAGTTTTTTCTCAGCAAGAGAAACAATAAGAGAGGTAAATAGGGAGCCTACATCATGGGAACAAATTTTTACTCCTCACACTTCAGATAGAACCCTAATATCCAGAGTATACAAAGAACTCAAAAAATTAAACAATAAGAAAACAAATAACCCAATCAACAAATGGGCCAAAGACCTGAACAGACACTTCTCAGAGAAGGACATACAATCAATCAACAAGTACATGAAAAAATGCTCACCATCTCTAGCAGTCAGAGAAATGCAAATCAAAACCACCCTAAGATACCATCTCACTCCAGTAAGATTGGCAGCCATTATGAAGTCAAACAACAACAAGTGCTGGAGAGGATGTGGGGAAAAGGGTACTCTTGTACATTGCTGGTGGGACTGCAAACTGGTGCGGCCAATTTGGAAAGCAGTATGGAGATTCCTGGGAAAGCTGGGAATGGAACCACCATTTGACCCAGCTATTGCCCTTCTCGGACTGTTCCCTGAAGACCTTAAAAGAGCGTACTACAGGGATACTGCTACATCGATGTTCATAGCAGCACAATTCACAGTCGCTAGACTGTGGAACCAACCCAGATGCCCTTCAATAGATGAATGGATAAAAAAAATGTGGCATTTATACACAATGGAGTATTATACAGCACTAAAAAATGACAAACTCATGGAATTTGCAGGGAAATGGATGGCACTAGAGCAGATTATGATTAGTGAAGCTAGCCAATCCCTAAAAAACAAATACCAAATGTCTTCTTTGATATAATGAGAGCAACTAAGAACAAAGCAGGGAGGAAGAGCAGGAAGAAAAGATTAACATTAAACAGATACATGAGGTGGGAGGGAAAGGGAGAGAAAAGGGAAATTGCATGGTAATGGAGGGAGATCCTCATTGTTATACAAAATTACATATAAGAGGTTGTGAGGGGAATGGGAAAATAAACAAGGAGAGAAATGAATTACAGTAGATGGGGTAGAGAGAGAAGATGGGAGGGGAGGGGAGGGGAGATAGTAGAGGATAGGAAAGGTAGCAGAATACAACAGTTACTAATAGGGCATTATGTAAAAATGTAGATGTGTAACCGACGTGATTCTGCAATCTGTATTTGGGGTAAAATTGGGAGTTCAAAACCCACTTGAATCAAATGTATGAAATATGATATGTCAAGAGCTTTGTAATTTTTGAACAACCAATAAAAAAAAAAGAAAAGACCATAAAAAAAAACTGAGTAGAGCTTTCTCCTTTGACATGTTTCTTCTGCTGCCTCCTGTTGACGTTGCTGTTGCGTGTTCTTTCTTTAGACTGGAGCCCATTGGTGCAGCTGCCAGTAAGGAATATTCCCTGGAGAAGAACTTGGAGAAAATGAAATTAGACTGGATTAACATGACATTCAGCTTCGTGAAATACAGGGACACTGTGAGTCTCCATTAAACTGCAACCCCCTGAAAACAGCACCATTTATTATGGAGTGGATTACAGAGGTTACTCATTCAGAATTGCAACAGAACTCATGGAAGAATAATCCCTACATCTCGATTGTTTCCCCCTGTCTACACTCATCCTTCCTTTCAGACACCACTGGAGAGATGTGTTTTCAAATCAGAAAGGCCTTTTGATTTGGTGCAATAGGCATGCTCAGTGCAAAGGAAACGAGTAAGCCTCATGAATTAGCATCTCCCAGGCAGGGCGCAAGTTGGCACACCTTTCTAATGCTCCCCTGGGTCCTCAGAAGCCTACTGGTGGTGGACAATGCCTAGAACTTCTCAAATCTTACTATATGCAGGAATCACCCAGCAATCTTGTTAAACTGCAGGTTCTGACTCCTGAGGTCTGGGGTGGGGCCTGAAGTTCTGTTGCTTTAACAAACTCTCAAATATATGCACAGAAGTTTGAATGGCAAGGATGTAGATTTCTCTCTTTTTCTCTGGCACTTGCAAATAACATTTGAGTTTGTACAGTGCATGGGGAGGTGCGTAAACCCAAAGAATCTATCTGCTCAGCTGTCTCAGGTCTGACTTGCTCTTGGGTAAGGAGGGCTACGGCTCTGTAAATCATGCTGGGAACAGGCTGATACTTGCTGCATACTGTTGGCAGTGTCGCCTGTGCTGGTAAACAACAGAATCACTCCTGCTTTAAAAATCCCACATTGATTCTTCCTGTCTTCTCCACCCTCAGAGTGTTTGGGCATCTGAACTTTTAAGGCACCTCTGATTTCACTAATATTCCAGGAAGATTGAGAACCAGAACCTTACTCCTATATCTTCCTTCCCCTTTAAGCTGCATCTTATCCTCCTGTGACTTCTCCCCCAGTTTTGTTCTAACAGTCATGATGCTTCAATTTCACACTTGGATAAGAACTATCAATGAGACAGTGGGAGTGAGGAGAGCTGGAGACACATGGTTCATCGCTGAGCCTCTTCTGGCAAGACAAGGGCCCTGTGGGTCCCAGGAACTTGGTGCTCCATGGACAGATTGGCTTAGATCCTGCTGTAGAGGCTGTTGGGCTGTGAACTTCAGCTAGGGAACCTGGGAGAAGCTGCATTGTTGCTGGCCCATCTTCAGTTTTTTACTGAAGTAGCTGTATCTACAGGACCAACAACAAAATGGGAATAAAGCTGTTTATTAATAGCTTTATTAATAGCTGGACATGCCTCCCAGTGCAGAGCTCCTGGTGAAGGATAGATGAGAGAATATGTCCTAGGCCCATTTTAGCCACCCAGATGTAGGATTGAAAGAAATGGGAACAGACTCACCAAAGGGGACAGACCCTATCAGTTTGTCACAATGTCTCAGGAGGAAAATTACCATTTACCTCTAAAGCACAGGAGCCTTTCATAGTAGTAAAATATGACCCATTAAATGTCTAGCACAGAGGTTCAGGGGGAATTTGGGGTCTAAATACCTTTACCATGGTAACCATGCACCAAAAAACAAACAAACAAACCCCAAAACATTTTGTTTATGAAATAATTAGCTCTAAACACTTAATAAGCATTTATGTCATAGGAGTTTATTTATGTCATAGATGTTTTTAAAATAATACATATAAATTGTAATAAAAATAATATTTGTATTATATGTTTACATGATCACAATAGTTACTTGGAGTTGCCCTGTGCATGAGTCTAGGCCTAACCAGTTAGACCAGCAGCTGATCCTACAGGAGGGAGAGGACAAGCAGGAAAGTGAGTGGACAGAGAAGAAGGAATGTGGGGAAGGGGACAAAAGTCTTCTTCCCCCAAGAGACTCTAGTTGCAAGTCTGGGATCAGACGGTATTTGTTTTCTGCAAAGCAGGTACACAACAAATGGCTTTATAGACATTTTCGAGGAAGAAAATAGAAATCCCATCTCCTGCAGACACAGATGCCTGTCCCACTGGAGTGCCATTCTGAGCCTTCAGGAATAAGCATTAACCAGAGATATGAAAAATTGTGCTCTATATGTGTAATAAGAATTATAATGCATTCCGCTGTCATATATAAGTAAAAAATAAATTAAAAAGTTTAAAAAAATAGGATAGGAGCGGGGAGCAGTGGCACACACTGGTAATCCCAGCAACTCCAGAGACTGAGGCAGGGGGATCATGAGTTCAAAGCCAGCTTCAGCAAAAGAGAGGAGCTAAGCAACTCAGTGAGACCCTGTCTCTAAATAAAATACAAAATAGGGCTTGGGATATGGCTCAGTGGTTGAGTGCTCCTGAGTTCAATCCCCATATCTACTCTAAAAATGGGGTAGGGACGGTTTGGGGGTCTGATGACTTTGACAGGGCAGGGTGTGTGTGTTTGCAGGATACTAGCATCCTGTGTGCAATTGATGACATTCAACTGCTCCTCGATGACCACGTGATAAAGACCCAGACCATGTGTGGCTCTGCATTCATCAAGCCAATAGAAGCAGAGTGCCGGGTAAGAGGAAATGGGGTTGCATGTGTTTTGACATTCCATTGGCTCTGGGTTTCTCCAAGGAAGGGGAAGTTTTTCAAGTTTAGTTAACAAATAACCTTACTTTCTCCTGAATGGAACAAACAAAAAAGGAAGGAAGAAAAAGAAAAACTGAAAGTGATAATGATACAAGTAACCATATGGCATGTTGAGTGGTTGTCTGCCAGAAGAAAAAGATGAGCTTTGAAATACACCAAATAAAAATATATTTGGAAAGTATCTTATGGGCTGTATTAACCTACAATATGAAGAACATGAGGGTAGGGGGTTGGCCTCCTTTGTTCATTTTTTGTAGAAAAGTGGCATAGGCCAAGGGTACAGACTCTGGAGCCAGACTGCCTGGTTTCAAATTCTGGCTCTGCCCCTTATTAGTCATGTGACCTTGTGCAAGTCAAATCATTGTCTTAGGTGGTTCACGCCTATAATCCTAGCAGTTCGGGAGGCTGAGGCAGGAGGATCGCAAGTTCAAAGCCAGCCTAAGAAACTGCAAGGCGCTAAACAACTCAATGAGACCCTCTAAATAAAATACAAAATAGGGATGTGGTTCGATGTTTGAGGGCCCCTGAGTTCAATCCCCAGTACCCGCCCCCCAAAATTGTTGTCTTAGTTTCTGCATCTGTAAATTGAGATTTTTAATAATACCTTCCTCATCAGGCTGTTGAATTAAATTGGATTGACATGAACAAAGCACTCTGGCCATCACAGATCATGGAGTAAGCATGCAGCTATGCTTAATGTGAGCTCCCATGAGGGCAGAAACTCTGGTGTGTTTCATTCATTGCTGTATCCACATTGCCTGGAAAAGTGACCAAAATATAAAGGACACTCAATAAGTATTTCTTAAAACAATCAAGTGAGGGAAATAAGTGAATGATTCCGTCCATTTGTTCAGTTATGGGGCCTGTGGTGCAGAGTGGCAGGTCACTGATTCAGGTGCGGAATGTTAAATTCACAGAAATGGGAAGAAAAGCTTGTTCGTGTGCAGGAGAATTTGGATGCCTGGTTGAAATGCCAAGCCACTTGGCTGTACCTGGAACCCATCTTCAGTTCAGAGGACATTATCGCCCAGATGCCAGAAGAGGGCCGAAAATTTGGCATCGTGGATGGTTACTGGAAAACGCTTATGGCCCAAGCGGTAAGTTTTCCCCCAACACATTTCACTAACACGTCCGTTGAAACTATTAAGTAAATTGTTTTTTTTTTTGCAAATTTGACATTTTTATGTCTTTGTTCTAAGTTACTAAAAATTCAAACATGGAAATATAGAGAGAGTAGTAACCTTGTGCTCCATAGAGGTAATTAGCAGTTTGCATTACATAACATAACTATCATTTCTAATGAGATAAAAGATTTTGTTATATGATGATGATTTGATGGAATTTTATATATTGAGAATCCTGTTAGAATTCAAAAAATTGCCTACATTGTTACTGTCATTTCACAAAAGTTTATGGGTTACCTATGATTATTCAGGCATTATATAGAGAATCAGAAAATACTTGAAAATAATATGATTTCTGCCTTTGTAGAATTCACTGTCTTGTGAGGAGACAAGCTTAAATAAATAAGGTCTATAATATACATGCAAATAGTGTTTGGAATACAGAAGAATGATTTAGTTGCCTGGAAACTCTAGGAGACCCTAAAGAGGTGACAATATAACAAAACCTTAAAGGATGACAGTTCAACTGAGTGTGCATGGTAATTGGGACATATCTTAAGAGGTCATACCTTGTTCGTTTTCTAAGTTAAGTGTGCTCAAACTGGGGCGCACTAACAAAAAGTGTGTCTCAAGGGAATGTACCTGCCCTGTTTGCAGGAGTGAAATAAGTGGGAATTTATATGGCCCAGCCAATGGAACCAATTTTACATTAGTGAAGTTTGCTAGTTACAGAAACCCACTCCGTAGCACAAACAAAAAGACCAGGTGATTGTCTCCTGAGACCCAAGGGCAGAAATTGCAGCACAGGCTCCCAAAGGTTGGACCTAGAACCCAGAAATTCAGAAATCCAGAAATACCCTTCCCCTACCTCTGACCTCTATTTCTCTTTCCATGCCTGCTTCAGTCTCTCTTGGCAGTCTGGCTTGCTTGAACACTTAATCACACCGCGGGAGGTGATCCTCACACAGATCCAAAGCTCCCTGATACAAGGGACCACCCAAAGCATAAAGTGTCATGGTCTGAATTCTAAACCCCTGGAAATTAGAAATTAATTGATTCACTTGGTTTCAAGTGCCCGATCCCTGCTCAGTCAACCATGAACAGAGAAATAAGATTAAATGAACATTTAACCCCCTGTGGATTTAGGAGGGAGATGAAAAAGCTGTTAACTGGGCAGGGGCCATAGTTGGTTGACGGGCTAGTCAAACATTCATTTCCTCAACCAATCTCAGAATTCAGGAACCCCACAATGATTCTTGCCTTTTTTTTTTTTTTTTGGTGAAAATCCAGGTGAAAGATCCCAGGGTTCTGATGGCAGCAGACCAGCCACGGATGACTGAGAGGCTTCAAGAAGCCAACATTCTACTGGAGGACATCCAGAAAGGTCTAAATGATTACTTGGAGAAGAAGAGACTATTTTTCCCCAGGTATCCAGTATTCTCTTAATTGGAGTTATTCTCTGGAACCATGTTTAGGTAGAATGACATTTCTCATACTGAGATTACCTTTAACCAATCTATTCCATTTCCCAAGATACAGCTACTAGGAGTAAGTCATGTCTTCATGGTCATTATCTAAAATGAGGTTGAATGGTCATGGCGGGGGTGGGAGGGGTCAAATCCACACTTTGACCAGCAAGACTTGTCATTCCCCCCGTTAAAGTGGTATACGAATGGGGATTAGAGCTTCATCTTTGGAGCTAAACAGACCTCTTTTGGAGTCCCAGCTTTTCCACTTAGTAGTCTTAAGACCTTCAGCAAATCTGAGTCTTTGGTTCTCAGCTAAAAAATCAGAATAGAATAATAATAGTGCTCTGACTTCATATATTCACTGTGCAATGAGCTGGTGTATGTAAATTAGATGTGCCTGAGAGAAGCCAACTGATTTTTTTACATCAAAATTTGTAGTTTCTGGTAGGTAAGTTTCTAAAAATTTGACTCTCTTTTCCACAAAAATTAGTGTTTACATAAAAGTCAAAGTGACTTTAGAGGGCTGGCTCCAGAAGGGACCATCCTCACTCCCCAAAAAATCCATCCAGGTGTGGTTTGCACATGGATCGTCACTGCATGTCTTTGGGTCTGATTAGAATGTAGATTTGATCCTAATATGCATTTTAAACAAGTAAAGTCTAGTGTTCCTTTACAGAAGACAAAGTTAGTTCCAGCTTTCCACCAAAAAGTTTCCTTTATACAAAGACAAAGTTAGTTCCCATCTTTCCACCAAAAAGAGAAGTGGTTTATTTTTTGTTTGTAACCCAGAAATGTTCTTGGTATGTTCAATGCAGTGTTATCCAACAGAACTTCCTGCAACGATAGGAATGCTGTGTATCTGTGCTGTCCAAAATTGTAGTCATTAGCCCCATGTGGCTATTGAGCACTTTTAAATGTGGCTAGTGCACTTGAGAAAGTGAAGTTTTAGTTTATTTAATATTCTTTTTTTAAATGTAAAATAGCTACTTGTGGCTAATGGCTTCTCTATTGAATAATCCAAGTATAGAGCAAACATTGGTGGGATGCTGTCTTGGAAGCACAAAACTGAGAAGAGATTAAACTCAGGAACCCTTAAGGTTTGGGATGTCAGCTGTATCCACTACTGTCACTGCTGGTAAAACTATGAATAATACCTGAATAATACGCAGGCCCTAAAATATTACTTGGAGTATTATTATTACCCACATTTTAAATATGAGAAAACAATAATTTGCCCAAAGATACAAAACTGGAAAATGGCCAGACTGGAATCCAAACCCAGAAAGGCTGGATATAATACTTAGAAATTTAACATCTCCGGCCACATTGTCTCCATAAGTTAAACATATACACCTCAATATTTTGGGGGGGTTGGTGGGTGTACCAGGGATTTAACTCAGGGGCACTCAACCACTGAGCCACATCCCCAGCCCTATTTTGTATTTTATTTAGAGATAAGGTCTCACTAAGTTGCTTAGCTCCTCTCTTGCTGAGGCTGGCTTTGAACTTGCAGTCCTCCTGCCTCAGCCTCCTCAATAATTTTTTATGCATTTTTATAAATAAAATACAACACTCTCAGTGAATACTTTCAAAATGTTACTGATAGTTACATAATTTTACCTTGAAAGTCCAGAATGCTGAATAATGGTTTTATTAGTCATGCTAGAGATAGAGATTATAAAAGTCCATAGATATCACTCATTTGAATTTCACTTGGGAATGGGAAAAACTGACATGCTTATTACATATTATTTAGTCAATCGGCCAACAAATAATTATTGAACTCTTCGTACCTACCCTGTTCATCACTTAAAACTTAGAAGCTTAAAAAAAAATGACAACAACTATTCATTTAGCTCATAAGTCTATGGTTTGGCAGATTGGGCTGGGCTCAGCTGTGTGGTTCCTGGGGCCTCACCAGAGCACATTCATGTATCTGCAGTTGGTTGGCCATCTATTGCCTTAACCACTTGTCTGTTGGTTGGCTTCCTATTGGCTAGAAAGTCTTTCATCCTCCAAAAGGCTAGCCTGGGTCTATTCACATGGTGATGGTCACAAAGTTCCTAAGAACTTCAAGAGCAGAAACATCTGGGCCTCTTGATTTATAGATTTGGAATGTGCAGATTCATGTTCCACTGGATTCTGTTGTCCAAAACAAGACACAGAACCAGCCCAGGTTCAAGAAATGTGAATACAGACTCCACCTCTTGAAACCTGGGCTGGTTCTGTGAACACTGGGGCCATTATTGTCTTCTGCCACATTCAGTGAAGACTGAATGTCCACAGGGTCCCTCCACCATGGGACTTTCAACCTGGCGGTCACAGTAGAGGTTTGTACCTTGAACATTTTCCGAAGGTTTGTTGTTGCTGTTTTTAGGGCCTGAGCAAGAAATGAAGTTGTCTTATTGTCTCTCATTTAAAAGATGGTAGAAGACTGTGCATGTAAATGGATTCATTACTAACGTGCCCTTTCTTGCTTCACACCTATAGTATTTTCTGGCATACCTGGAGAGAAGGAAAGACAAGAAGTCTCTTTCTTCTACTCACTGGTTCTCAACATTACACATTAGAATCACTTGGGATTTTAAAATCTATACATTTCCCCAGACTTTACCCCTGATCAACTTCTATAGATATCTCTTAGCAGTGGCCTTTTCAGAAGCTCCTCATGTGATTCTAAAGTACCAGCAAAGTCTCGAACCACTGCTTCATCCAGGCTCCTTTCAACCATGTTAAACTCACGTAAACCAGCCTTCCTCCTTCCTCTTGCTCTCAGAGTCAAAACTGTCTTCACCTTCTATGCCCCAGATAGAAAATAGTGCAGAGGAGTGGGCCTTAGGGAAGAGCCTGAGGAAAATGGATGAAACTTGCCACCATTATATGAAGCAAAACAAGCCAGGCTTGGAAAGTTAAAGGTTGTATGCTTTCTCTTGTGTGTGGAAGTTAGAGAGGAAAAAGGGCAGGGGACAGGGGATCTCAATATGAAAATGAAAGAGGGAGATCAGTAAAGGAAAGGGACCAGGTGGAGGAAAGGAGGGAGGGAAAGCAGAAAGATGGAGGAACAAAACTGACCAAATTATATTGTTGTATCATGAGCATTTACTACAAATCCCACTATTGGGTTGGGGATATAACTCAGTTGGTAGAGTGCTTGCCTCACATGCACAAGGCCCTGGGTTTAATCCCCAGCAACACACACACACACAATCCCACTATTATGTATAATTATAATGTACCAATAAAATATATGAAAAAATAAAGGAAAGAGAGAAGACGAGGGGCAGAGGTCATGGCTGGTATTCACTTGGATCTGCTATGGAGTATCACTTTATTGGAAATAGAATTTTCCAGAAGAGGTCTCAGTTACCATTTTCCTTTGCTTTTAAATAGGTTCTTCTTTCTGTCAAATGATGAGCTGCTGGAGATTCTGTCTGAGACAAAGGACCCCCTCCGAGTGCAGCCTCACTTGAAGAAGTGCTTTGAAGGCATTGCCAGGCTGGAGTTTACAGACAGTCTGGAAATCACGGGCATGATCAGCTCAGAGAAGGAAACTGTTCCATTCATACAGAAAATCTACCCAGCTAAAGCCAAAGTAACTCCCCTTATCCATTTCTGGTTCTTTTCTCCATAATAGAGCAAACCGGAGAGAGAACATATTGGTTTCACTTTTGGATTCTAGTTCTGGGTATAGAACATTTGGATTCCGTAACGTAAGAAGATTGAGTGTTTGGGAAGAGTTATGTAGTCTTTCTGAGTCTCAGTTTTCTCATCTCTAAAACGGGGTTGATATTGTAAGCCATACCACATACTAAACCTGTGGAAGGATTTTATACTAACTTGATGTGGAGGCAGTAGTAGGAATCAGATCCAAATAATAGACACTGTTTAAATTTCCTCATAAAGAACCTAATTTAAAATGATCCAGTCAGATGAAGAGCTTCCTGGAGCATTTGCTTATAGGTCGACTGTACATCACAGATCTGATGCCAATTTACTAGGGTTTTCATACATATTTTCTTTTATAATGAGTAAAATGTAAATTACATCTATTTCTGTTGAACAAGGCAGCACTGTTAAGTGGAAATAGACAAGCACTCTTGGCCTCCCTTTGTTGACTGTTTTTGCCACCTACACATATAAACTGCCACAATCAGGGATCACATCACCAGCCCAGACACCCACTAGCTAGTTTACAGGTGCCTGAAGTCAATAGCCATAGTTACTTGAAATGCTAAGATTGAGTAATTTGCTGCACACTTGAATTTCTTGTGCAGCTTTAAATGAAATCCAAATATCTGAGTTTCATTTCGTACCAATAAAATAAGAAATAGAGGTGAGAGAGAGATCTGTATTTTATAAAGATCTCCAGATGATCCCAATACACAGCAAAGTTTGGGAACCTTTGGAATAATGCATAAATTAGAACTGATCCAATGATCAGGAGCTACTTTATTAACTGAAATGTGAATATTTCATTTGCCTCCTAAGAAGTTATGTTTCAGAAAATGACATGAAAGAAATATGTGTTAAAAAATCTATTGCCCCTACAGGAGGCATACACTTCCTAAAACACTATAAATAAATGTAAAGCAAATAGTTAAAGACTACTGGCTTGAAGAGTTATCCAGCCTTTGGCCTCCCTACAGCCCTACCCAGAGAGAGAGCTGGGTTCATCCCATATCCCTCCTGGGCTTTGACTGATTGTCATCACCTCCTTCTGTCTGTCTTGGCGCACAGGGCATGGTGGAAAAGTGGCTCCAGCAGGTGGAGCAGATGATGCTGGCCAGCTTGCGGGAAGTTATCAGACAAGGGATTGAAGCATATGCCAAGGTGGGCAACTGTCGTGGCACACGTGCAGGGTTTGGTACCTTAATGGAAGCTCTAGGGAGAAGGTTGAATGGATCTGTTCCATTGGCCTTCTGTGTTCTACCAAACCCCACCCCTTTGTGCCGCTCTGGCCTTTACCTGTACATCTGCAATGATGAACATATTTATGGAGAAACATTTGTTGTTAGAAGCAGATCAGACAGAGGGTTAACTGGAACACTCAGAGCCAGTCTTTTCTGTCACGTGGAATTGATGGCAGGAAGTCTGTTTAGACGCTCTTCCAATTAATCATTCATTTGCATTACATTTGTCCTGGACAAATGTAACTTAATAACTCATTAAGCTCCCAAAGCTTTGAGGGGAACAAGCATGATACAAAGCTTATGAGGGAATAACCTGTCAAGACAACTATTTAGCCAGCCTCTGCTACTGTCCTTTCTACTTTAAGTGTCTTTTCTTATTTCCAGGTTCCCATCCCTTTTCCCAGGACCCCTTGCATCAAGTAAAACATTCAATTAACACCTTCACCCTAAAGTATTATTCAGGAACCCCTCCCATCCCTCACAGCAGTCTCTGCATTGTGAACGGAAGGCAAATCTGTTTTCTTATGGTTGATTCTAAATCAAAAATTAAGAAGAAATAGCTATCAATATGAAATTATTTCATGCAAGCAAATCTATAGCAAAACTTGACTCACTTTTTGTGTGAAAGGCCAGATGGTAAAGCATGTTCATGTCAGTGGGACACTTCCCCACCCACCTCCCAACTATTTAACTTTGCCCTTGTAGCACAAAGGCAGCATAGACAATGTGTAAATGATGAACATTGCTGTGTTCCAATAAAACTTTATTTACAAAGATGAGCATGGCCAGATTTTGTCCCCAGGTTATTAGTTACCCACTTCTGATCTGTCGTTAAAGAGAAAAAGTGGGAGAAGGGGGCCTTGGCTTTAAAATTTAAAAATGCATAAAAAACTGATATAGCACTGCAATATTACATAGCGATTAAAAAGAGTAGTTATAAGTATTCTGAGAACATCTCCTTGATTATAACCATATAAAAATTGTTGGCAGATTTTGTGTGAGAAAAAAATGCAAAGTTGATGAAATTGTTGTTGTTTTTATTTTTTCTTTTCCATAAGCTTCGGGGAGGAAGGCATAAATCAATAATTCCAGAGATGTCAAGCTTTGTAGTATCTAAGGGAGGGAGAGGATTTTGTTTTCATTGTCAGAGTGAGGTGGTTGGGCATGTTTTTAGAAAGTCACTTTAAACTACACATGATGAACTGACCCTACAACGAACCCCTACCCCTTCCCAGGTCCCTCGTAACTCCTGGGTCTTACAGTGGCCTGGCCAGGTAGTTATCTGTGTCTCCTCCATCTTTTGGACCAAGGAGGTTTCCGAAGCCCTGGTTGAAAATACCCTCCCGGTAAGTGAGCCTGCCATGAAGCTTGCAGTGCATCAACTAGGATTTGAAAAACAAATAATTAGAGTTGCCATGTTTTTTTTTAAACAAAAACAATTTTGGACCGGGATGAATACTACAGAATTAGTTTAAAAAAAAAAACAATTTGTGGGGCTGGGGCCTGTAGCTCAGTAGCAGAGCACTTGCCTATCCTTTGTGAGGCACTGGGTTTGAACCTCAGTACCACATAAAATAAACAAATAAAATAAAGGCATTCTGTCCATCTACAACTACAAAAAACAAAAAAAGAAAGAAAGAAAAAACAGTTTGTGCCACAGCATCACAGAGGCCAGTGTTCTATGCCCATCATGACCCAGTGATGAAGAACAGTTCCACTCCACCCAAAATTCCCTCACATCCTAGGTGGTCAACCCTTTCTCCAAGATTCTGCAGACACCTGTTTTCTGCCTCTATTGCTTTGCCTCTTCTATAATACCATAAAAATAAGATGAGGCAGTATGTAGTCTTCCAAATCTAGCCTCTTTTAGTAGCCTAATGCATTTAAAATTCATTTGGAGGTTAATGGCTGGGGATTTGAGAGCTGACATACAGGAGTCTGGCTTGGATGATGTCAGTCCCTGAGATGGGCATTGCTGGGGGGAGAATCCACTGTAACCAATTGCTTCCTGTGGCTCCTGCCAGGATTTTCTGAAAAAGAGCAATGACCAGATTGCACAGATTGTCCAACTGGTGCGAGGGAAACTGAGCAGTGGAGCTCGACTCACTCTCGGGGCCCTCACTGTCATCGATGTCCACGGTAAGCAAGAATTTCCCTGGCATTCCTCATTGTCCATGTTTGGCAGTCAGTCTTGCCACTCAGTCCTCCTGAATGGAATGATTCAGGTTTTCCTTCTCTATGATGGAGAGGTTTCTCTAACTGAGAGTAAGATAAGGGGTAAGTACAGAAAAGCCAATTCCAGAGGGCTCTGTATGTCTCTATCATTTCCCATCCCCAATCCTATTTCCAGGGACCCTCCAAGCAGGGCTCTTACATAGACCGTGATGGCCAAAGACATTTCTGAGATACTCTAACTTGGTGACTGATTCAAAGCAGCCACGGCTAATATTTTTGAATACTCAGCAGGTACCAAGCTTTGTGCTAAGTGCTTGTGTTATCTCATTCCCACATATGTTTCACGGATAAAGAACTTGATGCTCAGTGAGGTAAATAACTTGCTAAGAGGCAGAGTCCTTATCGGAGACTCCTCATCTGATTCTAAACCCCAGGGACTGGAAATGGGCAGTATGCAGCGAGGGAGTGGTGAGGATGATGCCTTTCAGCTCTCCCTTAAAAAAAAAAATAGAAGAAGAAAAGGAGGAGGAGGAGGAGGAGGAGGAGAAAGTACTGGGGTCTTTATATAAAACAAACCACCCTCACACCCTCACTCCATCATCACCAAGGAAACCAGGGCTGGACCAGGCTGGTTGCCTGGGAACAGTGGCTCTCTTGCTCACAAACTCAGCTTCCTACTGGCATGTCATTCCCTCGGGGCTGATGCTCATTTCAGTCTGATTTCATCCAGATAGACTAGCATAAAATTAGAAAGGGAGGAGGGGGAATGGAATGTGCTCCCCTCCCGGTCTCACTCCCTGCTGGTAGGGATAATAAATGCAGATGTGGTTACTGCCCAGGGTAGCCCAGAGTGGTTGGGTTCACAAGCACAAGTGTGCATGTATGCACATGTACCCCCCCCCCAACACACACACAGTATAGCAAGGGCAACTCCAACAACCCCTTGAGATTTACTTTCCTCTTGAAATGCTCATGCAGAACCCTACTCCTGCCAGCACCCCATGGGTTCTCGCAAGAACCCAACAGGGAATTTAGTTCTTTGGGAAGAAAGGAAGAGCTTCTGGTGTAATCTTCAAGGACTCATCTCTGCAGGGCTTTGGTCTTTTACTGTAATTAAGAGGACCTCTCTCAGAGAGGCAGCAGACTTGCAGAAGCTTACCTTTGCAAAGTTATGTTTCTGAGAAGCTGGGGGATGGTGTGCAACTGTAATCCCAGAGAATTGGAAGGCTGAGGCAGGAGGATTACACGTTTGAGGCCAGCCTCAGCAATTTAGTAAAACCCTTTCTCAAGGTCTGGGGGTGTGGTAGAGGGGGCTCAGTGGTATAGCAATTCCTAGTAGCACCAAATTACAATTCTCAGATCCTTATTTCTAGCTGGCTATACTAGCTTAGAGATCTTGGTATCCCTCACCCTGTGAGCTGCCTGAAAGATAATTAATGATTTTCATGAAACCATATCACTCTGTAACTTCAGGGCTCCTCTCACTGTGAAAAAATTACATTAGTTTCACAATTATATGAGAGAAAGGAGAAAAGGTGGAAATGTATCTCTTAGCTTGTTTCTCAAACCCCAGGGGGGAAGAATACCTCTAATCCTGGATTCATGGGACACCTTCCCAGGGTAACTATCTCGGGTCAAGTTGATCACATTTTCTTAGGATATCCTAGAGACCTGCTACAGAAGGGGGTCATACATATTGCAAAGCCCTCTGATTCACTCCTTCAAGAATTTGGGAATAAATAACAGTAAATACTTAGATGATATTTTTATATGCTGAATACAGTTATCTATCTATCTGTCTATCTATCTATCTCCCTTTTTCTATGTCCCTTTCTCTCTCTGTGTATAATATATATGTACATTCCATGTCTATGTTACATTATATGTCTGTATATTACACACATATACATATTCATTTAGTTCTCATAATAACCATATAAGATAGATACTATGTTATCCCCCATTTTATAGATTATGCAGCTAAGGGACAGAGAGGTTCAGTAATTGCTCCAAAATCACACAGCTAGTTCATGATGGAACCAGAATTTGAAACCAGGCAGTCTGATTTCAGAGTATGCACATTTAATTGTTCTACTCTGTGAGAGAAGACGATGCAGCAGGCCCCTCTGCCCACTCCTCGGGAGAAGGCCAAGACTGTCTTCTGAAAGCTATTGCTGCCTGAAGGTGGAAGGAAGGAAGGGGGGGATAAAACCTGACACTGTTGGGAGGGGTGGCCTTGATAACAGCTTCTTCTAACTGAGGAGGCCTTGGAGATGGGCGAATTCTGAGGGCTTCTCACGTGCTTCTGCATCTGGATCCCAAAAGCTCGTGACGTGGTGGCCAAGTTAGCTAAGGATGGAATCTCTGATCTGAACGATTTCCAGTGGATCTCACAGCTGCGCTACTACTGGGAGGAAAACGATGTGCATGTGCAGATGATAACCACAGAAGCCTTGTATGGCTACGAGTACCTGGGAAACTCCCCCCGGCTGGTGATTACACCCCTCACGGACCGCTGTTACAGGTACCTTCTAGGGCTGCCAGATTGGAGGGGTGAACAGGGGAATCCAGAGAGAAAAGAGTCTGGGGAAGAGGCCAGGGATGTCTTAGATTTGTTACCATCTACATTTCAGATTCTTACATTTTAGAACGTTTCTCTCAGTCACCATAGTCCCACATATGGTTATGGAAACTAGGTCTTTGGGCTAGAAATGAGAAACTAGTATGGGTCCTGGTGAAATGAATACCTTAGAACCAGTAAGCAGAACATTGATGCACCGCTGTAAAAAGGACATGGTATCTGAGTAGAAAGATCTGCAGTGGCAAGAATCAAGAGGGTGCCTGGAGATCCTGTGGCCAAGAGATTGACAAGGAGCCAGGCCAAGGACCAGACAAGTCATCCCTAAGCTCTGCCAGCCAGTCTGCTGAGGAGATACAGTCATTTGGTGCTCAGCTAAGCACTTCGCTACTTTCTGTGGAATTCCTAACATTAGAAACTTATATTCTGTAAATGTATCAATGTTGTGATGTTCAGATTTTATTTGCTCTTGTATTTTTCCTTTAGAGTGAAATTTTTTAGATTATAAAAATAATACTTGAGAGGATTTTCTCCTCTCAAAATCTTCAATCACTTGTTTCTTATATTCTGTGACTTTTTAATTCATTAATTCATTTATTCTACTCATTATTCTATTCAACAACTATCTCTTTTTAAAATAAATTTTAGTGTGTATATTAAAGACATTCAACATGATATCATAATGATTTCTACAGTGGAACGAATTAACACATCCGTCATCTCCCAGTTACCTATTTTACCCTGGGTAGCAAGAACGTCTTTAATCTACCATTTAGCAAAATTCTGAATGCAGTACACTATTATTAGCTACAGCCCTCGTGAACAACTATTTCTTGAACTTTCCTGTGCTCCATGCATAATAGCCAGGAACCCTAACCCTAACTGGGGGTGGGGGAGGCCTATGCAGAAGATTACAAGGTAGTGTGTTAACTGAAATTGTAAAGACTTATACCAAAGGCCAAACAAGTTAGCACATCATTCATTTCTAACATTCATCTTGCACTTGCCACATGCCAGGCACTGTATTCTCTTGCTGAGGATATAGAAATAAATCAAAATACAACTCCTGAACTTAAGAGTTCAAAGTTCAGTAGGAGAAATGTATTTGCTTTCACCATTCCATTAGCACTAGTGATCTTTGAAAGTGAAGTTTTTAAGATTTTTTTTTACCTTTTTTTGGAATCATTTATGTATATATTCATTTATTCATTCAAATAAATGTTTATGGTTGCCACCCATGCACCAGGCTCTTAGTTTAAAATACAGAGAATTTTTTATGATGATGATATATTGGTTATATAATCAGGGGGAAATTTTTAAACTTTGCATAAATCAAAATAAACAAAAAGTCAGTTTCTTTCCTGGGTCTCAGGACTCAGGCACCACATTCTTGTTTTCTTCTCCTTAGGACACTGATGGGTGCTCTGAAGCTGAACCTTGGGGGAGCCCCAGAGGGTCCAGCAGGAACAGGCAAGACAGAAACCACCAAAGATCTGGCTAAAGCTTTGGCCAAGCAGGTGAGAAAATTCCATTTATCTCCACCTGCTCTTCCCTCCCCTCTTGGACCCTGTCCAGGGAAATGAACATGAAGTTCAAGATGATTTAGTATAACAGGAAGAACAGGGAATAAGAAGAGAGTGGAATAAGAAGAGAGGACCCCACTCCTGTTTCAGGATGCTAGGTAGTGCAGAGATGATGGAGTCCATCCTTAACAGTGCCCACACCCTCCTTCTTTCTAGTGTGTGGTCTTCAACTGCTCAGATGGTTTGGATTACAAAGCCATGGGGAAGTTCTTCAAGGGGCTGGCCCAGGCTGGAGCATGGTCCTGTTTCGATGAATTCAACAGGATTGAGGTAATTCTGCTTCTACGCTAAAGAACAAAGAGGTTGGGCATAGAGTATCCTGTTTGTGGGCTTTCAGCTCCTTAGTGACAGGACCTTATGTTTCCTCTGTGGCTGGTGTACAGTAGGTCTATAAAGCATCCACAAGGAGGCAGAATACATATCTTACATACATATCTGTACCTTGCTACCATATGCATTCATTCACTGACTCATTCAAAAATGTATTTAGCAGGCACTATATGTTAGCAACTCTGTATGTGTTCATGATACAAAGATGAATAAGAAATAATCTTGCCCTGTAGGCTGATACAGTTCAGTAAGTGGAATAAAAATTAAATGAGCCAGAGTCTGATAGAAATTTATAGTAGTGGTTCAAACGACATAAAAGAGTGGGTGATTAACTATATTTGGGCAAAGAATGGAGATCAGGAAATGTAAGCATAGTTTGGACCCAGAAACAGTGAGTACCTCCTATGGACCAAGTACAATCCTAAGTGTTGAAACAAAGATAAAATACTATAGAAAGTATTTACACACCCAGGCACACACACATGCATGCATGTGTATACACACACAGACACACACACTTTTTCTTTGACAAAACCCCAAACCATACTTCTAATTTCCTAATTTCAAACATGAAGATTTGGTTCTCATGATATTGGGTTCCTTCCTGAGGGGGACCCTGGCAGAGCCCACATTCCCACCACAGGTAGAAGTGCTGTCTGTGGTGGCCCAGCAGATTCTCAGCATTCAACAAGCCATTATCCGGAAGCTGAAGGTATTCGTCTTTGAAGGCACTGAGCTCTCTCTGAACCCAACTTGTGCTGTCTTCATCACCATGAACCCCGGGTATGCTGGCAGGGCGGAGCTGCCAGATAACCTCAAGGTAAACACCAGCCTGATGAGTGCCAGGTATATCTTATACTATAGGAACTTCTGGAGGAGTTCACTAGAGGGTCTCCTAGAGAAGCCCAGCCACAGGAATAGGTAGCATATTTAGCTGTCAGAAGTACTAGTGGAGCACCAATGGTAGTAAGATAATACTTGGCCCCAAAAACCTCCTCAAACAAGGTCTTGGGAAGAAAGGGAATATATACATATTGACCAATGGCAAATAGAAAACAATGAATACTAGAGCAAGGTTTGTCATTTCAGTTGTCTACAGGAGTCAGAAAGGTAATGTAAACCAGAGAGCAGGCAAAACATGAACTCTTGCGACTGCAAAGGCAGCAGGTACCTACAGCCTACTGTTGCCAAGCAAGAATTATCAGATCTCTCTCTCTCTCTCTCTCTCTCTCTCTCTCTCTCTCTCTCTCTCATTTTATTTTTCTTTTCCAGGAGAAACTAGGAATTTGGATTTTTGCATGAAACCTCCTAAATTTTTAGATTTTTAAAAAATATTTTGCTTTTAGTTGTAGTTGGACTAAATACCTTTATTTTATTTTTATGTGGTGCTGAGGATCAAACCCAGCACCCTGCATGTGCTAGGTGAGCGCTGTACCACTGAGCCACAACCCCAGTTCCAAAATTTTAGATTTTGACTCAATAAAAAGAATTACTATAGGACAAAGTAGATCTATTTACAAGAGAGCATCATCAAATTTCAATGTGAGAACTCTGGCAAACCTAGCATGGAGCATGGGGAGCTCCCCCTTTCCTACTAAGCAGGTTAAACCTAAGTAGTTTCTATACCAACGCAGGCTGGTATGCTGGTAGAGAGATAGTATGGGTGCTTATTTGTTTCCATTGCCAATTGCTGATCTGGCCTGAGCCAAGGCAGAATCCATTGGCTCTGCTGCTAGTGGAAGAAAGAAAGTACCTCTGAAAGGGAAAGAGTCAAGCAGGCCATCTTCAAAGGAAAGATTGCCTTAGATGACTTTAGCATGCTGCATTCATGGAAGGCAAACACACACACACACACACACACACACACACACAATGGATGTAAGATGTTTAGCTCCCCTATCACCAAGCTGCATGGAAAGAGAGACCAGAGGCTCCCAGACCTGCTTCCTGATTGATTTTATGCTAATTTATTGCCCCATCACCTTGCGTGGAAGAGTTCAGAAAGACACAGACACTCCCATATCCACTGATTTTATCCAAGGTACTTGCCCTGCTAGAAATGCATTGAAGCTAGTACCCTTCAGTCTTATTCAGATAGACCACTTCTTCTCTCCCAGAATAGAAAAGAGTCAAGGAAATTCACCTCTGTAAGTCAGCATAAGCTAGTTAATGTCAATGTAGAATTCGGACCCACATTTCTCTTTTTTTTTTTTGCCACCCAGATGTTAACTATCCCTTTCCCTCATCCCACACAACCATGTCAGATCTATACAAAGAACTTTCATGAGACAGGGTGGCAAATGCAAAGCACCAGGGGCTGGTATCAGGAAGCCTGGATTCCAAGCAGCTCTGTCTCTAACTTACTGCATGAGCCAGGCGAGTTGCTTCCTCTAGGGTCCAAGATAATAGCACCATAGTTGATGTTTATTGAGCACTCACTCTATGCCATATCCATGGGTAAACACTTCACTTACATAATATCATTTGTTCTCATGTTAATTCCATGAAGAGTTAAAGTTGCTAGTTCATTTTGAGACAAAACACCTGAGGTCTAGGGGGGTTATATAACTTGCCCATAGCTAAGCATAAGAACTCAATTTAAGATCTCTGTGACATGAGGATAATTCTGGCACATGTTGGTCTTGTGTTCCTAAATGACTTCTGATGTCCATGTTCAGCACCAGGAAGCTCCAACAGTTGAAAGATACCATGAGATGTCCTCATTGGACACAAGAGAATGAGGTGTTGGGACACCAGCACCTAGGAGCTTTCTTCCATAAAGTCATTGAGGAACTCAGTGTAATAGCATGTACTTGGACAGGGACAAAGGGGAAGGTATCATACATTGAAGATGGTCCCTCTGTGTTGAATCATTATCCGCCCCTCCTTTCCTTGATTGTCACATGATCACGCGGCCTGCGTGTGATCATGCTCCTTTCCCTTTTCTCTGTAGATGTGTATTCCCCCAGGATTCTCCTTGTCTGTGTTCTGGTTTTGATTGGTTATTTCTTTTCCAGGCATTATTCCGGACAGTGGCTATGATGGTGCCAGATTATGCCCTCATTGGAGAAATCTCCCTCTATTCTATGGGGTTTCTGGACTCTAGAAGGTAAGTTACAGTGGTTTTCCAGTGGGTCATGAAGGTCCTCAGAGAGTGGATTTTGTGTGGTGAATTTAAAAACTTGAAAAAGAATCACTTGAGAAACTCGCTTCCCCTCACTGGCTAATTTGAGAACATATAGTCCTAACTTTGCTCCTGACTCCATTTTTGACTAGGAAATGCTAAAGAAAGAGCTTCCTCTCTCTTTACACCTGGACTTCTGTTAAGGAGAGTACCCATTCATATCCTCCCCACCCATAGCTATAATACATCCACATCACATTACTAACTAGCTTAAGGTAAGATAGTGAACCATGAAATTTGAAGAGAAATGTTTAATATTATTTAATTTAACAATTTTATTAAATTGTTTTCAATTTAACATTTAATGACTCCCAACAGCTGGGTTACTTCTTATTCAGTTATTGCCCAATTTCCCAAGACATACACACACACACACACACACACACACACACGCGCGCGCACGCGCATACACACACGCGCACACACACACGCGCACACACACACACACACACACTAGTAGATCAACATCTTTATATGCATATGTGTACACAGGCACACAACACGTGCTCCCAAGAGTTTTGGATAATCATTTTAAAATGGCTTTTTTTGTTCTTTTCCAAATTTCACATTTGTCTTTTACTTTGTCTTTACTGTGATTGATTGATTTTTTTTTTTTTGTAACAATAGATTTCTCCACGGGTGAGTATTTTGCTGCATAAATCCTCAACAGAATGTGTCACCCTTCCTAGGCCAGGAGACTTCCTCTCTCATGTGAAGCTTAATTTATTTTTTCTATGGTAGACCTGCATTGCGTTGGTTTATCCATTCAATCAATTTATTTAACCATTCAGTTCAATTAATGAAATTCAATTAATGAAACATTTTTGAGCAACCCACCTTATTAGCCCTGTGCTAGGTGCTGGTGAACAGCACAAAATCTTTGCATTTAAAGTGAATCAATTTTGTAAAGAGGATTTCCCTAAGGGGAATGTACATTTGTATATTAGTTAGGGTCACACCCCCAATCCAGTGGCTTAGCATGACAAAAGCTTGATTTTTACTTACTAAAAATTCAAAGCAGATGTTTCTGATCAGGAGCAGTCTCCCCCAAGGGTCCCTCAGAGACCCCCAGGCTATGTTTATCTCATGACTGCAGCATGACCAGAAGGGCCTCAGGGAGGAGGTTTCCCTGGGCTGATCCTGGACTTGGCATCTGCCTCTCCATTCACATTTCACTGGCTAGAACACAGGGGCATGGCTTCCCCTAACTGCACAGCAGACTGGGAACTGTAGTCCAGCTGTGTATGTCCAGGAAGAAGGGGAAATGGCTATGAACGTGAGTGTCATAGGTAGGTGTTATGTGCTGGGTATGTTACATTTTGAATTGGTTTTCTTGAATTAAAAAGTCAAATGTTATTCAACAAAATAAAAAACATCCCAGAAGTGAAGAAAGTGAATTTCCCTTTAGTCTCACTCTAAGGGATTAACATTGTAATAATTTGATGTATTCTTTCTCAACTCGTGTATGTGATGTGCACACGTGGTACATGCAATTGTGTATACACAGGAAAGCATATAATGTAATTTCATCCACGATACATGCTATACACGTGTGTGCTTGCTTTTTTTTTCCATCTTATATTTGAAGGAGAGTTGTTTCCTGAACTCACTGTGGTAACTCTAGTAAAAGGTTTTCAGCTAATAGGTTCTGCCCATCAAATCCATGGGGCAAACCTGGTTTCTGAAATGACAGACACAAAGATCTACAGACATGTCTTTCCCTCCTAGTCTTGCCCAGAAGATTGTTGCGACCTACCGCCTGTGCTCAGAGCAGCTGTCCTCCCAGCATCACTACGACTATGGCATGCGGGCTGTCAAGTCTGTGCTCACTGCTGCTGGCAACCTGAAGCTCAAGTACCCAGAGGAGGATGAAAGCGTCTTGCTGCTCCGGGCCTTGCTTGACATCAACCTGGCCAAGTTCTTAGCTCAAGACGTTCCTCTGTTTCAGGTATGCAGTGTAAGAACCCAGGATCACCCTCTGAAGATGATTTTTTTGTTTTTGTTTTTTTGGCACTTTTTCTGTATCTTCTTCCATTTCTTTTTTTTTTTTTAAGTTTCTTTTTTTTTCTTTTTTAAAACGCATTCTATTGTCATGTATATCTTCTTCCATTTCATGATACCCTTCCTCATTCCAGCCACCATCTCTGTGGCCTGATCCCCTTCTCCCAAATATTAAATAATAATGGTAATAGAATTACATCCCTGTCTAGTTTCTAATTTTAATAAAAATGGTCTCCCTAGCAGGATGATAATTGCTGTTGGGTTTAGGTAGTTGTTCTTATGCAATATAATTAGTTCCTTTCTGTAATTAATTTATACCTATCTTTCTTCCCAGGCTGTTCATCCTTAGTATAGTGACTAGAAATTAGTACTTAGGATTCATTAAATATTTACCAACTTTTAAAATCACTTGGAAGGATAATCATGATTAACAGTGCTGATGTTTGTGGTTTCAGATGAATTTTGATGCAGGAAAAATAAGCTTTGGAAATTTTCAAATATTTCTGCTATCTGTAGATCCTACTTTAGGCAAATGTTGATATCACATGCCTGATACTTCATCCTTTCCACTTTCTCCTGAATTCTTGCAAACAGGGAATTATCTCAGATCTGTTTCCTGGAGTCGTGCTTCCAAAGCCAGACTATGAAGTTTTTCTGGAGGCACTGAATGAGAACTTGAAAAAGATGAAACTCCAGCCAGTGCCTTGGTTTATTGGGAAAATTATCCAGGTTGGTTCCTTATACCTGTATGGGAATGCACTTGTCCTACTATCTACTGGAGTTGAAACTAGAAAGATTTAGGGCAGCTGGCGATGGGTGCATGCCTGTAATCCCAGTGACCTGAGGGGCTGATGCAGGAGGAAGTCAAGTTTGAAGCCAGCCTTGGCAAATTAGCAAGGTTATAAACAACTGGGAGAGACCCTGTCTCAAAAAATAGAAAGGACTGGGGATGTAGGTGAAGGATAAAGCACTCCTGGGTTCAATCTCCAGTACAAAAAATTAAAAAAATAAAAAAGACATAGGGCAAATGAGAGCTAGACTGGCGGCAAGCAGAGGTGCCTGAGTAGAGATGAAATTAATTGACCACTTGATATATTGTGCCTCAGGTTTTATCTTTAGGTGTTGAAATTTAATATACACTTTTCTGTGGCCATCTTCCTTGGGGTTTCTTGTTACATTTGAGAATGAAACTGAGACTCCAGGGCGTTGAGATTTAAATTAGCCAGGACTTCTCCATTTCAAATAATAGAAATCTAATTCACACTGCCTTCATCAATAAAAAGGAATTTATTCACTCACCTGATTTGAGAAGTGCCGGAACGTGTTGGCCTCGGGCATAGCAGGAGCCGAGATTTTAGTTAATGTCATCAGGAATCTCTCCTCATCATTCCTGAACTCTGCCTTTCTCTACAGATGTTAAAAATTCATACTCAGGTACCCACACCTACCCTCAGCAACCTCAGACTTACATTGTTCCAGGTTCAAGCCCAGGGAAGAAAATAGCATGGGGGGAGAAGCATCCCTTTCCAAGTGGCTCAGAGGTCTCAGACTTGGCCTTGGATGGTTCTGATAAAGTCACCTGACTGCCTCTGACTGAATGGTATGACAAAGATGCAGAGAGTGTCCTACCCAAGTCATGTCGACCACCACATGGTGGCTCCCCAGGGAAAATTAAGATGCTGTTATCAACAGAACAGAAAACGGGGTGTTGGGCAGGGAAATCAGGAATGTCTCCCCGGTCCTCACCCTGGAGCACCTTCATTCGGATTCCAGGGTTGCCTCCCTGGGATCATTTTTCAATGCAAAACTAACTTACAATAATATATTTAATGGTAAGCCCCCCATGGGCTTACTTTGCAGAATAATAGGTTTGATCTACAGGAGATCTTAAATACCATTTGGTCCAGCTTTCGTAAGGATACCTGGGTCCAGAGAAGGGAGTAAATTTCAGATTAATGCAGACCTAGGTTCAAATCTCACTCCCATCCGTCTTTTTGTTGTTGTTATGAGATTTGGGGCAAATTATTTCAACATCTGTGAGCCTTGTTTCCTCATCTGTAAAATGGAAAGGAGTAAAACTTTCCCCAGGATTACTTTTGAGAGAACAGGTATGAGAAGTGCTAGATATCATGCCTGAGGCTACGTCATTATCAACCCGCTGTCTCCACATCACTGTCAATATCGTCATTTCCCAAAGTGACACGGATATATGCACTGGGATTTCACAGATGGACGGTCTTAACTAAATATGAGTTTTATCCCAATATCTTCTTATGAAAACGTTTAAATATGCTGAGAAGTTAAAAGAATTGTGTGATGAACACCCATATACCTACCACTAGATTTTATAATTTTATGGTACTTGTTTTATTACTTATCTATCCATCCATTCATTTTTGTATGTATTTTGAAGAAATCTGCAGACCTATAGGTGAACTTTTCTATAGCCTATAGCAACAGCTTTTCAAAAATAAGGTGATTTTTCAAAAACAATTTATGTTGCCAGGCATGGTGGTACACAGTCACCTCCAAGGTAAAAAATAATAACTCAATCTTTAAAATGAAAAGCTCCCTGTGTTTCTCTGAGGGACTTGCAGTCTAAAGGAAGAAAGAGGGTGGGGGGAGAAATACATTAAATTTCACATAAAAACTAGTGACCTAAACATTTGTGTCAGAATTGCATAATTAGACCTCTAAAATGGAAATTTCCAATAGAAATACAATTTGCTGAATAATCATTTCCTTTTCCACTGTAAAAGTGTATGTCATATATAATACTGTGTTATAGAACACAGAAGTAATTCTTTTTATCATTATTGAGTTTTGGTACCAGTAATCCAACCTCTCTCTACCCCTCCTATCCCAACCCCCCTATCTTAGCCCAATGATGGACTGGCATTCTACTCTAACTCTAGTGAGATCAGAGAAATGGTAAATTTTTGAGGATATGAAAATGCTAACCCTGACTTTTATCATACTCTACCCCATAAACGTGCAAATATTATATGCCAACCAAAAATTGTTAACAAGAAAATATAAAAGAAATAGCAGTATCAATGATGTAATGAAAAGATTAGAGGCATTGAAGTCAGACAGACCCATGTCCCAGATCCATCACTGAAGAGCTTGGGCAAATTACTAAAGCTCTTTTGAGTTCAGTGTTCTTATCTGTAAAAGGTTGTTAATGATACTTGAGTAGATTAAATGAAATAATTTGGACAATCACTTGATACTTGGCACATAGATAGATGAAAACAAATAGTAGCTCCCATCCCTTTAACAACATGAGACACACATATACTTATTCATCCAAAAATATTTTAACAATAGATTACCAAAAGGACTGCAGTTCACCAGTTAGGAGTGTGTATGAAAATCCTCTTTGAGCCTTTTCTTCCTCATTGATTTTTTTTAAGAATATTCACTACAACATTCTTTTTTTTTTAAATTTTTTTAATTGTTGATGGACCTTTATTTTATTTATTGTTGATGGACCTTTTATTTATTTATATGCAGTACTGAGAATATTGAACCCAGTGCCTAACACATGCTAGGCAAGTGCTCTACCATTGAGACACAATCTCAGCCTCTCTTCATTGACTTTTCAAAAACTTGCAGTATGGGAAGGTTTGCAATGATTACCTTTTTTTTTTTTTTGTACTGGGGATTGAACCCAGGGATGCTTTACCACTGAGCCACATCCCCAGCTCTTTTTTTAAAATTTTTTTAAGACAGAGTCTCACTAAGTCAACGAGGGTCTCACTAAATTGCTAAGGTTGGTCTCAAATTTGTGATCCTCCTGTTTCAGCCTCCTGAGTCACTGAGATTGAGGGTGTGGGTCACAGCACCCAACTAATGATTAACTTCTTACATGATGTCTCCTCCTAGATCTATGAAATGATGCTGGTAAGACACGGCTATATGATTGTTGGAGACCCCATGGGCGGAAAGACTTCTGCTTATAAGGTGTTGGCTGCAGCTCTGGGTGATTTATATGCAGGTAAAGCTCACATCCCTGACTTCCAGTGAGGACAGGACTCCCTGCTCAGCTGGCTGGCTCCATGTTCAGATAATGCCAGGCTGCGGGTTTTGCCAATCCTGAATCATGATGTCAGATCTAGAAATAGAATATGGCACACAGATGTCTGCAGGCAGAAAATAAATGGTGGGGTAGGGGAATTCTAACAAGGGGCTTTATGTGTCTGTCATTAAGGCTGGGGGAAATTTCTCAAATGCTGAACAGTGGCTTCTCCCAGTTCCCCAGTGAGAGACTCCTGTCATTGGCCTAAACAACATGAGTCCAAAAGCAAACCATTGAATGATTTGTTTTCTTTTCTTTCTATTTCTATCCCTTCTTCCCTTCTCTCTTTTCTTCCCTTTCCCTTCTGATCTTTTCTCCTTGTCTCCCTTCTTCCTTGTTTTTAAGGTAGGGAAAAGAGCTCATATTTTTTAATTACACTCAAAATGATTCAAACAACCCCTTCTCGTATCCTCTGTTTTCCCAGCTGTAAAATGGGATTGTTATGAAAGTTAAATGAGATTATGCAGGTAAATAATCTAGCCCTGTGCCTACTCAACAAATAGAAGCTGTTTATTGCCAGATAAACAGTTTAGGGTTTTATAATTTGTTGTTTGTTTTGGTATAAAAGGCAAACCTGCAGTTTTGAAAAGCAGTCCAGTGTTGTGTGTTTACATAATCAATTCAAGTACTTCATTTAAAATTGTTTTCTAATGACATTTGATGATTCAATTGTGTTTTTTTAATTTTGTTTTAGGAACGAACTTAGATTTGATAACTAAATTTGGCATTTCAAATTTAAATATGGTAATAATTTTGGAACTTAAATATAGTTTAAGAAATGAAATGAAGAAAAAGGAGAATACACCATTATCTTTGCCTCCAAATTCTGCAGAAATAGTTGTTTATTTACTGCTTGGTTCATGCATTCCAACTTTTTCTTACTCTGAAGGATCATGAAAAGTGTCATTATTTTCTGTTATAAATACTGTACATTCATCATCCTGGTTACTCTTATTGGGTCCTAGAACTCCAAATGTGTGCATTTCCCTGGGAACAGGTGACACTGAGTAGGTGAGAAAAAAAGATTTAAGGGCTAAGCTAGCCCTTTAGATAGAAGAAAGTGACCACCATCTTTCAGAATCTACCTATCAGTTGTTTCATCATCCCACACCAATGCCAAGGTTCTTAGGTGGCTTTAACAGCAGGTGAGTAAAGAGGGCTGAGGAGATGAAATCTGTCTTCTTTAATACTTGAATTCTTTAGGTCCAGTCAGATTTTTTTTTTTTCATCCTGGATCTGACTGGTACGTTTGCCCTGATGGAAATAAGGCACAGAAGGGAAGTATAATGGAGCAGGGGACAGTGGCACATGCCTATAATCCCAGCAGCTCAGGAGGCTGAGGCAGGAGGATCCCAAGTGCAAAGCCAGCCTCAGCAAAAGCAAGGCACTAAAGAACTCAGTGAGACCCTGTCTCTAAATGAAATACAAAATAGGGATGGGAATGTGGCTCAGTGGTCTAGCGCCCCTGAGTTCAATCCCTGGTACCACCCCTGCCCCCCAAAAAAAGTATGAGGGAAAACACTGACTATAATAACCCAAAAATTTAAGTCATAGCCTATCCAGATTCCCCAGTCTTTTTATGCAAATATATTCTCTAAGGACTCTTCCTTGGATAGCCTCTGAGATGCCATTATCTCTGGCTTGATGTTCTGGTCTCACTGGAGCCTTTGTAACTATGTTGGACCTTCTTGCCCAGCCAATCAGATGGAGGAGTTTGCCGTGGAGTTCAAGATCATCAATCCCAAGGCCATAACAATGGGGCAGCTGTATGGGTTTTTTGACCCAGTGAGCCATGAATGGACGGACGGTGTCCTAGCCAATGCTTTCCGAGAACAAGCATCTTCAGTGTCTGATGACCGCAAGTGGATTATTTTTGATGGACCAGTGGATGCTGTTTGGATTGAAAATATGAACACTGTTCTGGATGACAATAAAAAGGTAGCTATGGAATCTATCACTTTTTCATGGGTGGGATACATCTTTTATTAAAGTGAGTGAGTGAGTGAGTGAGTGAGTGAAACGATACAAACACATGCATGTAACACCCTAAGAATGAATACTCCATGAGAGAAGAACAGTTTTTAGTTCATGAATTATGCTTCTATTTGTATTTGTAGTCAGTAAGCTAAATCTGATTAAAGACCATGTCGAATAGTGGTTAAAAACCTTGATGATGACATCAAGTTGAACCTTCTTCACCACCCTTGAGCTGTGTTATATTAGGCAACTTATATACTTGGTTTTCACATTCATAAAAATATAATAGGACTGTTGATAATGAAGAGAGATAATACATATGGAATGTGGGTTATTCATTACTGTTTAAGAAATTATGCTAATATTTAGTGGCTTAGAAAAACTATTTTTCTCATGATCTTGTGGGTTGGGCATTTTGAAAGGGCTCAGTGAAGTAATTGGGTTTTTTAAATTTATTTTATTTTATTTTTATTAGTTGCTCAAAACATTACAATGATCTTGACATATCATATATCATACATTTGATTCAAATGGGGTATGAATTTTTATTTTTCCCATGTGTACAAATTGCAGGATCACATTGGTTATACAGCCACGTTTATACATACTGCCATACTAGTGTCTGTTGTACTCTGCTGCCCTTCCTATCCCCTTCCTATACCCTGCTCCCCTCCCCTCCCCTCCCCTCCCATCACCTCTCTTAGTTGTAGATGGACACAGTATCTTTATTTTGTTTATTTAGGGTTTTTTTTTTTAATGTGGTTCTGGGAATCAAACCCAGTGCCTAATGAATGCTAGCCAGGTGCTATACCCCTGAGCCACAACCCTAGCCTGGCAATTGGTTTTTAATTCTGGTGATTTTAGTGGGGGCAACTGTACTAGAGGATCCACATTCACGATAGCTCCTTCATTCAGTGCCAGGTGCTCATTCCTCTTGGCCTCTTTTTTTTTCCCCCTCTCTAAATAGCATGTCGCCTTCCAGGCCTTGCATGGCAGTCTCTAGATAGTCACACTTCCACTAGTGCGTGTCTGACTTCCAAGAGGCAGGCAGTGGAAGTTTCCAAGAAATGAAGGATCATAGCCGAGTACGGTGGCTCACACCTATAATCCCAGTAGCTCAGGAGGCTGAAGCAGAAGGATCATAAGTTTAAAGCCAGCCTCAGCAAAAGTAAGGTGCTAAGCAACTCAGTGGGACCCTGTCTCTAAATAAAATACAAAATAGAGCTGGGATGTGGCTCAGTGGTCGAGTGCCCCTGGGTTTAATCCCTGGTGCCAGAAAAATTAAAAAAAAAAAATGAAGGATCATGCTTAGAATGACACTCAGTCACTTCCTCCAGTTTTGTTGGTTAAAGAAGTCTCTGACTTAACCAGAGTCAAGAGAACAGGGAAATAGATGCTGTCTCTTGATGAAGGTAGACAAGTTTACACTATAAAAGTATCCATGGGATGGCTGCATTGTTAGAGTCTTTGGAAAATACAATCTGCCACAGAAAATACAGTGACACTAAAGAGCTTGGACCTAAGCCAGGCACCCTGGGTTCAAACCCTGGCCACCACAAGGCAGCTCAGTAATCTCAGACAAGCTCTTTATTTTCTCAAGGCCTCAATTTTACCCCTGGGTTCAATCCGTGGTGCCAAAAAAAAAAAAAAAAATGAAGGGTCATGAATCTAGAAATGGGGATGACAATGTCTACAAAGTGTTGTTAGGAAGATAAGTTAATATTTGCAAACTGCTTATCATAGTGCCTGACATAAAGCAAGCACTGTAAACTATTGCTTAAAATGAAATTATAACGTAAAATAAAATGTATCACTACTTCAAATGAGAGTTCCTATGCTAAATAGGTGCCATTATCAAATCAGAATATATTTTAAAACTGTTTGCTGTCACAAGAATACACATTAGTCATGTTCTACAGTGGAAGTACTAACTATCCAAATTATACATGTTAATTCTAGCATGTGCATAATTTTGATGATATAACATAAAAATAGGAATGTTTTATTATATGATATGGGCTATACTATGTAAACTAATGTATCTGTTGGTCTTAAGTATGAAGAGAGGGGCTGGGGTTGTAGCTCAGTGGTAGAGCGTTTGCCTCACAAGTGTGAGGCACTTGGTTCAATCCTCAACACCACCTAAAAATAAATAAATAGCCAGGCATGATGGTGCATGCCTGTAATCCCAATGGCTCCAGAGGCTGAGGCAGGAGGATCGTGAGCTTAAAGCCAGCCTCAGCAATGGTGAGGTGCTAAGCAACTCAATGAGACCCTGTCTTTATTTAAATACAAAATAGGGCTGGGGATGTGGCTCAGTGGTTGAGTGCCCCAGAATTCAATCCCTGCCTTGTACCAAAAAAAAGAAAGAAAAGAAAAAAGAAAAAGAAGAAGCATTAAGAGAGTTATAATCAGGGAATTCCCTAATGGTTCCTCTCAACAACTATAGTTTGATATAAATCAAACTATAGTTCAGGGTGGTCTCTGTTACTTTTATTTATATTCAAAGATGACACAGCTGGGGTGTTAGCCCCACTACAGTTGTGACCTTTCTGGAGGTGCATGTAGTGATATGGGCCAGGTAACATGCAGGGAACTTTTTTACTACAAATTAGGAAGAGCAGCAGGGACCTGTGGTGTTTTCCCTTCTCCTTGGGAGACCAGGGCCCAGGCTTTTTTTTAGGACTTCATGGTGTCACCTGAGCCCATGTGGGCAATGGTGAATGAGGCACATATTCTGAGGCTCACCTTTGTGTTTGCACCTCTTTCTACAGGATGTGCCTGCCAAATACTAGGACTTCCAACAGTCTTCCATCCCATTCCAAGAGAGATTTATGGAAAGATTCTTATCACTGTAGCCATGGACTAGTCCATTGGCAGGGTTCAAACAGAATCTTGTCTGAGAGATTTGAGCAGATAAAACAGGATGAGGATGTGCAGTTACGTCCTATGTTAAACTAAGAGAAAGGGGCTTAGAAATGACTATGTGCCAAGCACATAATAGGTACTCAACATTTGTGGAATGCATTCAAACCAGCTCTGCCTCCACTGAGATCTTTCACTTGCAGATGGAATTTAACCCCTAGGCCTGTCCTCCACCCCTCTGCTTTACCCTTTCAGCTGTGTTTAATGAGTGGGGAGATTATCCAGATGACCACCAAGATGAGTCTGATCTTTGAGCCAGCCGACCTTGAACAGGCCTCTCCTGCCACCGTGAGTAGGTAAATCAGCTCACACTGGCATCCAAGCCCTAATCAGGAAATAAGCTCTGAAAAGCCACAAATGTGACTAAGCCCTACTGAACGTATTTGACATTCACTTACACGTGTCATAAATCAGTCGTTAATCCATACTAAAATCTAAAATCAAGCCAGTACTTTGGAAAAGTGTTTGACTTTCTCTCTAATAGTTCAACTTCCATTTGCCCATGACCCAGCAATTCTGCTCCTAACTATATGCCCAAAAGAGACTTACTATGAATAGTAGGAGACCTATAAAGAATATTCACAGTGTCACAACTCACAAAAACAAACATTTAGAAACAGGTATAATATAACTGAAGGATAATGTAACCAGAAATTGTGATATACATACCATGCAAAATAAACGGAGCTGCTCTGACATGCAACTGTACAGATAAGTCTTAGTAAATATATTAAGGATCAAATCACAGCAATATTATGTATAAAACTAAGTCCACAATATTACCTTCAGCATGGTACCCCTGTGCCTTATAGTTATATGTAATATAACTATATATTCATCAGTGCATTATAGTTATATTTAATAAAGGGGTTCATTTTGACATGATCATACATGCATGAATTATAATTTGCTCTACTTCAGTCCCCACTTAAATTGTTAAAAATCACTAAAATAAAAATGTATCTACGTATACATTTTAGGAAACACATAAATGTTCTAAAACTATGTAAGAAGGAAAGAAGTCAAGGTTCAAGATGCTGCGTCACTGCAGCTGGGGACACTTAGGGGAGTAGGACAGGGAGATCATGTGGCTAGATGAAGGCCATTGTCAAGTCCACTAAGGCCTAGAATAGTGCATAAAATACAGCAGATGTTCAATACAGGTTGGCCAGTGTTGCTAACAGAGAGCACCAGACTGGTTCTCTGTGCTTCCCAGGTGTGGGATGATCTACATGGAGCCACTTCAACTAGGCTGGAAGCCCCTGAAGGATTCGTACATGGACACTCTGCCCACCAGCCTCACTGAGGAACACCATGAATTGGTGAGACCCACGGGCCCCTTTCCTCCCATCCCACCCCCATTTCCCTACTCATCTACAGAACCTTCTAGGTACATCTTCATCTTCGGAGTTCCAGAATGAAAGAAGGGGAGGGATTCCCTGCCTTCCTCCAGTTATCTTGTTTCCTGTCTTCCTGCCATTTTTTCCCCCAGATTTCTTCTTCATGTGATGAGGATGGAATGGTGCAGTCAATTCTCCCCATTCTTCCACCTTCTCTATCACTTCTCAGCTCCCTAGTGGTGAATCCCGAGAAATGCTCTTTTTGTCACCCCTTCCTCCATTATCATCCTTTCCTCTATTGCCTGTAAACAGAAATGTCTGTAGAAGTTGCCGTAGAGTTGGACCCTGTTAGGAAGAGTCATGTTCCTCTCTGTTGCTGATCCCTATCCCTGTAACCTATCCTCTACCTCTCCTTCAAAGAGGAAGCTAGAACCAGAGAGATGCTCTCCTTGCAGCTACTACAAATGACAGTTCCCTTCTTCCCTTCCTTAAAGAGGTAGAAAAGCTCAGGTCATAGATACATAGCTACACTCTCAGGCGAGGGAAGGAGAAAGGGACAGCCTGTGTTTGTGGTGCCTCTTGTCTATTAATCCCTGTATTAAGGGACATCCTTAGGAAAGTCCCCACAGAGGGAGACAAGAGTTGAGTTCTGTCCCACCACGTGGATACTGTTACCATGTACATATATGTATAATATGTACAAACACATGCATTTGTAAATAGATACTTGTCCACATGTACATTCAGGAACCAGTCTACACACACACACACACACACACACACACACACACATACACACAGTGAATGCTACCAAGGCCCATGCTTGTAAAGTCCTTCATGATCTCCCCAATGTCCTTTTTTCCCCCCTTGTAGTACTAGGGCCTCACACATGCTGGGCAAGCACTCCACCACGGAGCTATACCCCCAGCCCATCCCCAGTGTCTTCAGCTCAGAGCCTCACTCCTTATCAGGTCTCGCAGTACTCTGTTACCTACCCCTGGCTGCCTCTACAACCTCGTCCCTCCAGCTCATTCCTCCAGCCATTCTCCCTTGACTTCATTCTAGAAAACTCCAGGTTTCACTATGTCAAGGCTTTTGCACTTTTTATTCCTCATAATAGAAATCTTGTCCCAACTGATTTCATGGGTTAGTCCTACCTTCCCTGACCAACTGTCATTTGTTTCCTGCAAATACTTTCCATGATCTATAAGTATTTTATTTTATTTCCTTGTTTGTTTTTTTAGTTGTCTGTATTCCTAGTTTCTCAGATTGTAAGCTAGCATGGACTTTGCCTATCTCATCCATCATTTATCCCCAGCACTCTTACAATGCATTTAGTAGATGCTCAATGAATATTTGTTTCCTGAATAAATACAGATGCTCCTCAGCTTAAGATGAAGTTATCTCTCAACAAATCTGTCATAAATTGAAAATTTTGTAAGTTGAAAATGCATTTTATTCACCTAATCTACAGGACATTAGCAACACAGCACACTATAAAATATTAGTGGTTTCTCCCATGATTGCAGGATGGACATGGAGCTGTCTGGCTGCTACTGCTCAGCATCATGACAGAGTGTCATACTGAATATCACCAGCCCACAGAAAATAAAAATCAGAATTTGAAATATTTAAATTTTGAACCTATGCTCAAAAGTAATCAGCAGTCTTACATCCCCAGCCTCCTGAGGGGGACCAAGCTCTTAGTCTTCAACTCCCTTTTTGATAACATCTGCCAATCTCACACAGCTTTCTACTCTCAGGTCAATGACATGTTCATGTGGCTTGTCCAGCCCTGCCTGGAGTTTATTCATCATCATTGTAAATTTGTGGTTCAAACATCTCCCATCCACCTTGCCTTCTCAATGATGAGACTGTACTCCTCTCTGCTTGGTAAGTGCCACCTACGGGCCTTAAGCCACATGAGGGTTGGATGCCCTCACTCCCTTTTGTCCCACTTGAGTTATAATAGGAACAGCTGATTGGCCAAGAATAAGTGAGACTTTAAATTTTAGATAATGGAGGGGGAAAAAAATCCATGTGTTTTGTCTTTATCTGATATTGATTGGCGGGGATGAGGGGGTTCTTGTGCAAGTTACCCCAGCCTCAGGTTCTTCAACCATACAATGGAGTAATAATTTCTGTCCTTTATTTCACAGAGATATCCCAGAGGGAGATGAATTTAGATGAGACATATGAATAGATCTCAGGAAAAAAAATTATGAAAAAATAGGAAGTTTTTACATGTTAAGAAAACTTACATAACAAAAATGTAAATTCACAAAATACATAAATACACCGTAAGAGAACCAATCATGTTTGGAATATTTGAAACAATGGTTCTGTGATTTACCTACTACCCAAGGTACAATTATACATCTTAATAACAGTGGCACACGAATCAAACTTGGCTGAATTCCAGTATGAATGACAAAAGACATGTCCATTAGGAGAACTTCTATTGGATACCATTTCTTTTTCAAGAGGATGCAGAACTCAAACTCAAGATTAATCTTTTAAAATATTTTTTTCTCAGCACATTTCTTCCCAAAGCATATTGTAGTTGTAGTTTTTTTTAATGTGACACAGTAAACAGTTAAGTGGAGAATTTCTACATGTTATTTTATTTTCAAAAATTAAATTTTGAGGCATTTTTTCAGAAGCATACCAATTATGTATATAATGCCACTTATTTGCATTATTTTTGGTGAATATTGCATGTTTTCCTAACCTCTCTCCACCATCCTGATGTAATATCTCCTGGAAAAGAAGGCAACACCATGAGAAATAGAGTCATTGTCCCCCATCATAGATGATCTCATCTCTTACTTTGCCAAATCAGTAATGGTGGAACCTCTCAGAAGTCCTCAGATGCACACAATGACTAAAAACTGGAAGCTGAAACTTGAGTGCACATGGAGATGATTTCAGAAAGTACAGAGTACGCAGGTCCTTCACCTAGCTTTCCTTAATGTTAACATTTTACATAGCCAAGGTACAATGATCGGAACAAGGAAACCAATATTGGTGCTCTTATACTATTAACTATATACTTTTTTTGAATATCACCAGTTTTTTCACAGATGTCCTTTTCATATTCCAGGATTCAAATCAAAATCTCACATTGCATTTAACTATATGTCCCCATAGTCCCTGCCACTCTGGTAGTCCCTCAGTCTTTTCTTTTTTGATAACTTTGCCACTTGATGAGTACTGGACAGCTATTTTATTGAATGCTTTTCAATTTAAGTTTGCCTCACATTTTCTTAGAATTAGATTGAAGTTATGCATGTTTGGTAAGAATACTGAAGAAATGGTGATGTACATCTCTTATTACTAATAAATGTTCTGATCAAGGTTAACTTTGGCCAAAAACACATTTTTTGTGTGTGCTTTGTTTAGAGAAAATATTTGGAAACTATGCAAACATCTATTTCTTCTCAAACTTTACACCCACAGATTTTGAGCATCTATTGGTGCATCTTGCCTATAACAATTATTATGGCGCTTGTCTAATGATAATTTTCTGTTTTTATTCCTTCTATATTTATTCATCAGGATTCTTCTAGAAGGAAGAGTGTTCTTCATCCCCATTTATTTATTCAATTGTTTGTGGATCAAAATATGTACTTATGGATATTTATTTTATTCTACAGATTATAATACCATGCTGCAATTAATTGTTTTGTTACTCAAATGGCTTTAGTCATTGGGAACTCCTTCAGGTTGGCTCTTGTGTCTTTTTGGTATGTTTCTATCCTTTTTGAAGCATGTCCTTGTTTTCTGATATTTCAAAATATTCCAGGCCCATCTTGTGATTTCTCTGGCTCACCCTGTAATTAATGACTTCTCTAAAGAGCCCCAGTTCTTTATTCTGAAGAGTGGTATTTAGAAACCAGACATTGGGACTAAAGGTGTTCACTGTTACTGAAGAGGGACATAAAATACTTTTATGTGCTGCTGGGAGGAAAGAAGCAGAAAGGCTGTAGGGACTGATTTTGGTCAGAAGACTCAGGTGATAAAGTGCAGCCAACCCCTGGGTAACCACGGGCAGCATGGCTGTAAGGAAAAGTATCTAATGGGAGGAAGAGGAAGAGGAGGAGTGCTGAGAGGAAGGGGACAGCATTTATCTAATTATCATGTTTTTTCCCTTGGGTCTATTCTTTGACCTGAAAGGGAAGTGCACTGTGCTGCTTTGCTACTCAAAGTAGCATTTACAAGAAATATTGCATCACCTGGGAGCTCATTAGAAAAGGAGAAATATGGGCCAACTGAATCAGAGCCTGCAATTTTACAAAATCCTGGGTGATCTGCATGTATGATTAAGTTTGAGAATCATAGGAGAAGTCATAAGGAGCTTGGGCTTTGGAGTCAGCCAGATTTAGATTCACATCTTAGCTTCAGCATGTCTGTGATCTGTAACCCCTGGTGTTTACAAGCTTTAATTGATTCATCTAAAAATAGAAACAACCATACCTCTTTTATAAATCTGTTTTGTAAGTTAAATAAGAATATGCATTGGGAGAGAGTATTTTGTAAAGATGAAGGAGTAGGAAGCACGAGAAATCAGTCTCCCATCTGGACAACTGGCCTGGCAGAATCTTTCCAATATAACTATTTTGCAATTCTGGAGTCTATTCCAAGGCTTGCAACTCCAGGGGAAGGCCTGGATAGTAAATTGCAATTCATTTTCGTCAATTTCAGCTTTTAGCATGGTAGCAGCTACCCTTCTCCACCCCGAAGTGCTCTGGCAGGAGCTATGCATGTGTTCCAGGATCAGCCTGCATGTAGGGTGTGAGAGTCAGGGTGGACAACAAGGACCTTGTCCACCAGATGTCAGGGATCTGCTTCTGATTGCAGAGGTACAGACACTGCACTCCTTACCCCCATGATTGTCAGTCACATCACATTGGGATGAATAACTTCCAAGAAACTTCCAGGGTCAGCCCCCTTCTCCCCGCTAAATTTTTCTCTTTTACTCTTATAGGAACTAAACATTTAGGGATTAGGACATTCAAAAACAGCCACATATACAGAAAAAATTGGAAACTCACTATAGATAACCACAGGGGAGAAAAATGTAGTCTTAGGAAAAAAATTGAGAAAGGAAGGAAATGCTGGAGAGAGATATTGGCCAAATTATAGTTATACTGCGTGCACGTACAACTATGTAACAATAGTGATTAGGTACAACTATAATGCACCCATAAAAAAAAGAAAAAACCCTGAGAAGACCTTAAATTTATAATTCTGTATGATCCCTAAAACAGACACAGCTGCCAAAGGAGAAAAAATAAAAGAAAGAGAAACTACTTCATCATGCTTAACCTGAAAGACTGAAAGCTTTTCCTCTTTGATCAGGACCAAGACAAAGATGCCTATTCACACCTTCTACTAAAAATGGTCCTATGGTGGTTCCAATCTTAGGTTTTTTTTTTTCATTATTCAGATAATTTTATCAATGTTCTTAAAAACATCATTTAGAATTTTTAGATAGGTAGTTTGCTTTCTTTTTTATATTTTTAAAATTTTAATTTGTTATATATGACAGCAGAATGCATTACAATTCATATTATACATACAGAGCACACTTTTTCATATCTCTGGTTGTACATAAAGTAGAGTAACACCATTTGTGTCTTCATAATGTTCTTAGGGTAATGATGTCCATCTCAATCTACCATCTTTCCTATCCTTCTCCCTTTCCCTCCCTCCTCCCACCCTTTGCTTTCCAGAGTGGCCATATAAATCCCACTCCTCAATATATATATCCAAACAATCTAAAATCAGCATACTGTAGGAATACAGTCACATCAGTGATCAGTATTTATAGCAGCACAGTTCACAATAGCCAAATTATGGAACCAGCCCAGATGCCTGTCAACAGACAAATGGATTTTTAAAAATGTGGTCTATACACCAATAGAGTTTTACTCAGCATAAAGCAGAATGAAAATATGGCATTTGCTGGTTAAATGGATTGAACTGAAGAACATGCTAAAGAAAATAAGCCAGAAGTTAAGGGTTGAATGTTTTCTCTCATATGTGGAAGCTAAATCAAAATAATTGGGGTTTGCAAGGGGAGAGAATCCCATAAAAATAGATCAGTTGACTAGAGGAAGGGGATTGAGAGGAAAGGAGAAAAGATGGGAAAGGGGAGAAATGTTAGCTGGACCCTTCCTAATACCATATAAAAATTAACCAAAATGGATGAAAGATCTAAACATGGAGCTAAAACTATAAAACGAACAGAAGAAAACATAAGGCAAAAATCTCATGACACTGAACATGGCTGTGATATCTTAGATTTGACTGAAGGCATAGGCAACAAAAGAAAAAAAAAGAAAACAACTTCATCAAAATTTAAAGCTTTTTATGTATCAAAAGGCATTATTGACAGATTTAAAAGACAACCCACACAGAATGGAAGAAAATATTTACAAATCATATATTTGATAAAGGATTAATGTCCAAAGTACAGAGAGAACCACTAAAATTTAACATAAAAATACAAACAACTTAATTAAAAGGATAAAAAACTTGAGTAGACATTTCTCCAGAGAAGACATACAAAAGGCCGATAAGCACCTGAAAAGGGTCAACTTCAATAATAATTAGAGAAATACAAAAATCATACCCATTAGGATGGCTACAATAAAAGACACAGAAAATAGCAACTATTGGCATGGGTGTGGAGAAATTGGAACGCTCATGTACTGTTGATGGGAATTTAACATAGTATCCTGCCATTGAAAATCATTTGGTGGTTTCTCAAAAAAAGTAAACATAGAATTATCATATGATCCATATTTTTCACTTATGGGTATATTCCCAAAATAATCGAAAGCAGGTGCTCAAATAGATATTTGTATACCCATGCTTATAGCAGCATTATTCACGATTTCCAAAAGGTAGGAGCAACTCAAATGTCCATCAGCAGATGAATGGATAAACAAACTATGGGATAATCATATGACCTAGAATTCTTCCTCAAAAGGAAGAAAATTCTGACACGTTGTACAACATGGATGAACCCTTGAAAACATTATGCTAAGTGAAATAAACCAGTAACAAAATGACTGTATGATTCCACTCCTCTGATGTACCTAGAGTTGTCAAACTTACAGAGACAGAAAGTAGACTGCTGGTCATGTAAGGGGTGGAAGGGAGATGGGAGGGCAAGTTACTGTTTAATGGGTTCAGAGCCTCCGTTCTTCAAGATGAGTTCTGCATATCAGTGGCTCGATGGTTGTTCAATATGAATTACTTAAGGCCACCAAACTGTACACTTGCAAATGGTAAAGATTTTATGTTCTGTATATTTTACCATGATAAAAACTGTGTATGGTTAAGGATATGGAATGTGATGGGCACTCAGCCAATATGAGTCACCTCCCCAGGTCCTTTTCTAGCCCAAACCTGTTATTTACATCTTTCATATCCATGGTACTCTGCTGCCAGTCTTGAGCTTCCTTTTTCTTTTTCTTATTCTTTCCTTTTAGATGAAATCAGAGAAATTGATAAGGAGGACTCCGAATTATTTGAAAGCCTATCAAATCAACAGGTCTTCCTCTGGCTACAAGGACTATTCCTCTTTTCTTTGGTGTGGACAGTGGCCGGAACCATCAATGCGGACAGCAGAAAGAAATTTGATCAGTATTTCCGCAACCTGATCATGGGCATGGATGATAAACACCCAAGGCCCAAAAGTGTCAAACTCACCAAAAACAACGTCTTTCCAGATAGAGGTAACTCAGTACTTGTTTGTTATTCCTGTTATAATAGTTTTAAGTATGTGTCCCAAAACCAACCAAACTGCATGAATCATGTGAGACCCCTTATAAAAGCTAAGGAAGGTTCTATAGTCTTGTGAGTGGGTTCACTTCTCCAGGGCTGGTCTAGATATGTAAGAGGCGGGTGGTCCTGATATCATCATCTTCTAGGATATTAAACTGCTTCTTTAATTTAGAAAAAGTAATGTGACAGCTTGTGTTGGTTTTTTGGGGGGAGGGATTACCCATAATTTCTTAATAGAATGAGAAGTTTCTACACTTTTGTTTTCTTACACTTGTCTATTCCTCTCCTCTTGTGTTTACATACTTCATGTCATGGTAATTATGGTATTATTTCTCTTAATTTTTGTCATTATAATCTAGTATATTCAGATATTTCCAATTTTGCTATATAATCTTCAAAAATGATAATTTTAAGGGCTACAAGTATTCTATGTGTGTTACATCATTTACCAAAAGAAAGATGTTTCTTTTAAGTAGATTTTATTGCTTTTTCCAACCATCCAAGTAATACATTATTCAGAGTTTAGAAAATACAGAGAAGAAATAGAAAAAAATTAAGATCAATAGGAATTCCATCATCCAGAAATGTCACTGTGTGTGTATATGTGTTCAGATTTTTTCTGTATTTCTACAACATAAGGAGGATCATACTATAAATACTTTCCAAAAAGCTTTACTTTTTATGGCTGTAAAAAAGAGCATATAAAGAGCTATGAGGAAACTCCCAGGACTGACAGTAATGTGTATATTAAGAGAACTGGTTTACATAGTATTTTCAAAAGCTTAGAGAATGTAGGCTTAAGAGGTAGGCATTTTATTATATGTTAGTTTAAGATAGGCATTTTATTATATGTTAGTTTAAATTTTATTATATTTGTTTAAAACATAAACAAATCCTGAATCTTTGAATCATAGTTAATGATATACATGCTGAAGTCTTTATGGGGAAGTATAGAGGTGGGCTTTAATTTATTTTGAAATGTTTCAAAAAAGATAAGATGGATTAATGAGTAGATAAAGGGACAAAGAGGAATGTGATAAAACAAGAAAAGCAAATGGTAAACTCTAAGAGGTAGTTATCCAGTGCTCACTGTACAATGTTTTCAGTGTTTATGTATTTTTGATATTTTTCATAACAATAAAACAATGAATGAGCAAATAGGTTCCCTGCCCTGTACCCCACACTCTCACCTGCACACCTGGCACATTTCACGTAATGCATGATTGCCTGTTAGCCTAATTGCATGGAGGCCCCATACATTTCCATTAGTTGGGTGATAGTATATTCATTCACTCTTGGTTTTGGATGGTTTATTTTTATCTTAGTAAAATACAAATGACATAAGAGTTTACCATTTTAATAATTTGAAATTCAGTGGCAGTAAGAACATTCCCATTGTTATGCAACCTTAACCACCATCCAAATCCAGAACTTTTTCATTTTCCCAAACTGAAATTCATCACCATTAAACAATGATTTCCCATTGCCTCTTCCTCCCTTTCCTGGCAACAATGGCTCTACTTTCTGTCACCAAATGTTAGATTACATTGGGTACCTCATCTCAGCAGAATTATATGGTCTATGTCCTTTAGTAACTGGCTCATTTCATTTAGCATAATGTCCTCAGTGTTCATCCGTGTTGTAGTATGTGTCCTTTAAAGACCTAATAATATTCTATTAGATAATATACCACTTGTTCATTGCTGATATATAAGAAAGCAATTGAGTTTTGTATTTTAATCTTATATCCTGCAGACTTTGCTATAATCACTAATAAGTTCCAGGAATTTTTTATTGATTCTTTAGGATTTCCTGCATACTTATGTCATCTACAAATACAGTATTGTTTCTTCCTTCGTGTTATTTTATTTCCTTTTCTTCTCTTACTCCATTAGCTATGATTTTTAGTATGCTTTTGAATAGGTATGATAAGTGAAGACATCATTATTTTGTGCCCAATCTTAAAGGAAAGCTGCTCATTTTTTGACTCTTATCTGTGGTGCTATCTGTTCAGTTTGTGGATATTCTTTATCAAATTGAGGAATGTCCCTCTTCTCTTTCTAGTTTACTAAGATGAATGCTTGGGTTATTGATTTTAGATGTTTATCCCTTTCTAATAAATGTAATTAACACTATAAATTTCCCTCCAAACATTATGTTCACTGTATCTCACAGATCTTGAAACGTCGTATTTTTATTTCTGTTTAGTTCACAATATTTTCAAATTTCTCTTGAGACTTCCTGGATTTGTATGTCATTTTGAAGTGTGTCATTGAATCCCAAAGTATCTGGGGATTTTCCAGGCATCTTTCTCTTATTTCTCTTAGTATAATTCCATTGGTTTGATAGCATACATTGTATGATCTCTGTTCTTTCAAATGTGTTGAAGTGTTTTATAGCTAAAAATGTGGGCTGTCTTGGTGAATGCTCCATGTGAAGAGAAATGAATGCTCCATGAGAAGAATGAATAGTCTGCTATTGTCAGATGGAATAATCTGTAATGTAGATCCAATCGTTCAATTTAACTATAGTCTCACTCATTCTCTTACTGTCAATTACTGATAGAGGGGCGTCAAAATGTCCAACTATAATATTGAGTTTGTTTGTTTCTTCTTGAAGCACTATCCGTTTTGCCTCATGTACTTTGTCTTTCTGTTTACATTTGAAATGTGATAGAATCTAATCAAAATTTCTTCTTTTTAGTGGTGCTGAATTTTTTTTTACGTAGCAGGAATTTGTTTTCCAGTATGTTCCTTATTTAATGTTCTTTTGTAGGTTTTGTTTTTATTTTGACAGACTATGTTTAGATGTTAGTTTTCCTTTCATTTACTCCACTTAGGATTTGATCCATCCTTTTAGGCAGCAAGGAAAATTTTTATTCTTTGGCTTTCATCTCTATATTCTCTCCCCCCCCATCTCTCTCTCTCTCTCTCTCTCTCTCTCTCTCTCTCTCTCTCTCTCGTACGTGTGTATGTGTTGTGTGTGTGTGTGTGTGTGTGTGTGCATTTGCTCTTTCTAGTTGGGCTTTACATTTTGGCATAAGTCACCACAATTTCATTTCTCCACTGTCTCTATTAATTTTTAATTCTGCTTTTATATCTTTTGTTTTCTTGCTATCCTTTTTTAGTGTACAAATTAAAAGCACAGGCTAGGGAATGAAAGTGTCAGAGCTGGAGTCCTGGCTTCAACACTGAACCAGGTGGGTGAACTTGAACAAATTCCCTTAATTCCTCTCAGTTCCCACAATTATAAAATGTGGATAATAATAATAGACCATATTCATGGTGTTCTTGGAAAGATTAATTACAAAAATACTTAGGATAGACATGAAGGAAAATGGATAGCGCTTTATGTTGAAGGCATTAAGTTAATATTATCAATTTCTATTTATCATTGTTATCATCATCACTCTTAGATCATCCATCTCATTTTTTCTCATCTTGCCATTTCATTTCAACCTATTTTTTCCTGATGGCTTTTTTTCCTCCTATTTCATAATAAATGATGTTTTGGGGGTGTTTATTTTATTTTTTTGCACCTTATTGAAAATATCAAACAGTTTCCCAAAACTAGTTTCCAGTTCCACATTAAGCAAGTTTAAACAGATAACTCTCCAGGCTAATTTCCATATTATGTTCCTTTGTAATGCAATAGTTTTTCACTGGTTACATTTTTCGTTTGTTTGTTTTCTTTTGTTTTCTCCATCCTTCAAGATCAGTCTGTGCTCTCTGTCTACAAAGATGTAGCTGGCATGCAGATGAACAGCTGCCTAATTTTCTGTGTATATGTTACCTGTTCCTCTGCATTTGGGGCAGCCATGGGGGAAAGACCCAGTGGACTCTTGTGACTTTTTCTCTTTGTTTTTAATATTTTTTAATTATGTGTGGACTCAATGCCTTTATTCATTTTTGTGTGGTGCTAGGATTGAACCCAGTGTCTCACACTTGGCAGGCAAGTGCTCTACCACTGAGCGACAACGCCAGCCCCTCTTGGGTCTTTCTTCATACAATTCCTTGACTGATTTCTGTGTTAGCTTTCCATTACTTAACAAATACCTGAAATAATAAAGTTTTTTTTTAAAATAAAAGTTTTATTTTGGCTCAAGATTTTAGAATTTTCAATCCATAGTCAGTGGGCTCCATTGCTTTGGGGCCTGTGCTAAAGTACACCATCAGGGCAGGGAGGTCATGATAGAGCAAAGCTGCTCATTCATGGCAGTAGGAAGCAAAGAGTAAGTAAAAGGAGCACTGGGGCCCTTCAAGAGCATTGCCTAACTTCCTCCCAGAAGGCACTGCCTCCTGATGGTTCCATCACCAACCAATAAGGCCAAGAACTAAGGACCAAGCCTTCAGCACACGGTTCTCAGGGGGACATTCATCCAAACCATAGCATTTTCTCAACCCAGCTCTTCTGCTTTCTACTTAGAGGAGATTCTGCCCAGATTCTTTTCAGTTTTTGTTTATAATAACATCGTTCTTCTTTTTTCTCCTATTGCAAGTATTTTAGTGAGAAATTGGGAAGCTCCTAACCAGAACCCACTTGACTCGAAAGATCTGCTTTACAGGGCTGAGAATGCAGTCTCTTTACGTAACAGCTTTATTGAGCTATATTTTACATACCATAAAACCCACCCACTTAAGTCTACAAATCAATGATTTTTAGTAAATTTACCCAGCTGTGTACCCATTGCTCTATAATCCAGGTTTAGAATGTTTGGAAAGCCCCAGTAAAACCCTTCATGACTACTTTAAATTAACTGCAGATCCTTTGTTAGTCCCAGCCTCTGTATAGATTTGTCTTTTCTAGATATTTCATCTACATGGAATTAATTAATATATGACCTCCTGTGTGTGGCTTTGATTGCACTTTCCTAAATCATTGTTAAACTTTTTAAAAATATTTTCTTAGTTGTCATTGGACCTTTATTTTTATTTTATTTATTTATATGTGA